TAAAATAAAATAGCAAAATTTTTGCGACGAATTGACATTTATATATAAACTTATAGGCAAGCTAGCTAGCAGATTGATCTCAAACCACCATGAATGAATCTTACCTCTTCCCAATCTCAAAAATATATCCACAAGAATGTCATTAGGCAAGTCAACCAATTTGGTTGTCTGAATGTCCTCAGGCAAGCCAATCAATTTTGTTGTCTGAATGTCCTCGGGCAAGTCGATCAATTCTGTCTTCTGTTGTTGTTTTGTGCAATGTGTCCAAACTTTAGAGATCCAAAGAAATTGATCTGTGCAATTCATGAGTAGGGAAAGTTTTTTTTTTTTTTTGCATTGGACAAAAACGGATTGGTTGGACTTTGGTGCAGCCACAAGTGTGATTTAACCTAAAAGAAAAAGTAGTTTTTCTAGTTATTTACAACTGAATCTACCGACGGGATGATATACAGTCAGTTAGTTATAAAATCATTCTGTCCCATGATTTTTTAGAAGTTTGAATCTAATTATTTTACACGCCTTCTCTAGTGAAGATTTCAACGGCCATCAAAATAATCTCAGTAAAAATCTCAACTAAACAATAGTTTAAGAATAGAGAAGAGTGCTTAATAACTGAAGAGTAGAAGGATAAAAAAAAAGCAGTACCTGATAGTAATGAGGAGGAGAAACCTGCACAATTAGAAGGTCCGAACCTCTATTTCCGTCTCGGTAGGTGTATTATTCTACATTTTCCCAAAAGAACATTCATTCATTTCTTTCTTCCCCGTCGACCATGACGATTGAAACAACGCAAGAAATACAGACGCAGAAAGGAGAAGGGACGGTGGTGGGAATTTGGGAAAGTCAGTCCAATCGGGTGTCTTCATTCAAACGACGGAACAGAAGAAAAATGAAAAGAAGTGAGAGGCCAGGAGGCAAGAAAAAAAGTTGAGTCGATCGGGCTCGACGATCAGGAGAAGGGTGACAAAGCTCTGTCACTAACTTCTTTTTTTTCTTTTCTGTTGGTCTATTTATAAAGAAGATATGACTGCGGACTTCTGATTGTTCTCCTTTTGCTACCCGGATTTGGAGAGAGATTTCAATCCTTCCGATCTACTTAAGCTGATAATTGGTCCAGTATCATTTGATTTAGCTATACCTTTTATTCTAAGAGCATCTCCAACCAAGACACCAAAACACTAAATTTGGTGTTTTGGTGTAAAGCTTCCACTCCAACGAACATACCAAATCACTATACTATTTTAGAGCGATGAATAGTGTTACACCAAATTGTGTAAATTTTCCATTACACTATTTGTAGTGCATAATCTTTTTACTAATATCTAGAGATATATTTCCTATGCAATTAATTTTTTTAAATAATTTTTAGTTATTATTAAAATTGAGTGTGAAAAATAAGTAAAAAAATTTGATACTTCTACAATCAAATAAAAAGCGATTATAAGGAACAAATTTCAAAAAATTATCACCAAATTACGTTATTTTAATTACCTACAAAATAAAATTTAAACTAAAACATTTAATAGGTAAATATTTTAGTGCATCAAGGCTGGAGTGTAAAAAACTTTGGTGTAAAAAGATACTTAGAATATTCTATTTGTGCACTAAATTTAGTGTAAATTATAGTGCAATGGTTGGAGATACTCTAAAGAGATTATCTTGTTTAGATTTTTTACTTTTATATCATTTTAGTTTAAAATAAAAATTTAGATTGAACAATCATTTCCGAATGGAGGGAGTACCCATCTTTGAAAAAGCTTTTTCTGGGTAACAAAACCACCCACTCTAGCGCAATTAAATTAATCTGTGACCAATCCATTCTCTTCGTTTTCAGAACCGAAAAAATCAAAAAAGGAAAAAGTAAAAAAGTTCCTTGAAAACCAAGTCTAATATGAATTTCCAAGGCATGCATTCAACAATTATTCCAATAAACTCTTCAAAAATAAAAATAAAAATGAAAGATTGACGAAGTGAAGGACTCACCGAGTGGCGAGGCTGGAGGCGATTGCGGAGGAAGGGTTTTCTATTTCCTCTAATTATTATATTATCAGGAAATCTAATCTGATAACAACGTGTATTGGGAGTTTTCTTGTTATACACTATTTTTGTAGTAAATTTTGTTTCGACCAGTGAGTAAAAAAAAAATAAAACTAAGCAACCTTTCAATTTCTACAATCGCTCAGCCCACCAACTACAGTCAAGGGAGTAAGGAGTTTCCTAGGACATGCCGGCTTTTACAGGAGGTTCATTAAAGATTTTTCAAATATCTCTAAACCATTGTGCAACTTGCTTGAAAAAGACACTGTTTTTATTTTTTATGAATCCTATTTAAATGCATTTACTGAACTGAAAAAGAAACTCATCTCTGCACCTGTAATCATCACACCTGATTGGTTACAGCCTTTTGAACTAATGTGTGATGCTAGTGATTTTGCAGTTGGTGTTTTACTTGGACAGAGAAGGAACAAGGTGTTGCATGTGGTTTACTATGCTAGTAAAACCCTCAACCCTGCACATATCAACTACACCACTACAGAGAAGGAAATGCTGACAATTGTGTTTGCATTTGACAAATTCAGAGCTTATTTGCTAGGAATGAAAGTCATAGTCTACACAGACCATGCTGCCATCAGGTACTTGATCAATAAAAAAGAGTCTAAGCCTAGGTTGATTCGATGGGTGTTGTTGTTACAGGAATTCGATTTGGAGATAAGAGACAGAAAGGGTGTTGAGAATCAGGTAGCAGACCATCTGTCAAGACTAGAAGAGATTCCAAAAGACACAACTCCAATTTCAGAAAAATTCCCTGATGAGTCACTCTGGCGAGTGACAGGCACACTCATGGGAGTGACAGGTAACATGCCTTGGTTTGTAGATTTTGCTAACTTTGTTGCTGCTGGTATTATTCCTCCAGATCTCACCCCTCAACAGCGCAAAAGGTTCCTTCATGATGCTCAACTCTACCTATGGGATGAACCCTACCTATTCAAAAGATGTGCAGACCAATTGATCAGAAGGTGTATTCCAGAACCTGAGTTCACAGAAGTGTTGCACAAATGCCACAGTTCTCCCTATGGTGGACATTTCAACGGTCAAAGAACGGCAATCAAGGTTCTACAAGCTGGACTGTATTGGCCAACTCTGTTCAGAGATGCACGTGAATTTGTCAAAAGCTGTGACAGATGCCAAAGGACAGGAAACATTTCTTGGAAGAATGAGATGCCACAACAGAACATGCTTGAAGTAGAACTATTTGATGTATGGGGGATAGATTTCATGGGTCCTTTCGTGTTATCCTTTGGGAACTCCTGTATCCTACTGGCAGTGGACTACGTGTCAAGGTGGATAGAAGCCGTAGCTGCAAGAAACAGTGATGCTAAGAATGTTCTCAGGTTTTTAAAGAAAAACATTTTTGCCAGATTTGGTACACCCAGAATGATACTCAGTGATGAAGGATCACACTTTTGTAACAAGTCATTTGCAACCATGGTGAAGAAATATGGAATCAGGCACAGAGTATCAACACCATACCATCCACAATCAAACGGGCTAGCAGAAGTGTCAAACAGGGAAGTGAAAAGAATCCTGGAAAAGGTTGTCAACTCTACCAGAAAGAATTGGTCCTCAAAGTTGGATGAAGCTTTATGGGCGTACAGAACAGCATATAAAACTCCCATTGGTATGTCCCCGTTCAAACTGGTCTATGGGAAAGCATGCCACTTGCTAGTGGAGTTGGAGCATAAGGCTTATTGGGCTATTAAGGAGCTGAATCTGGATCCAAGAAAAAACAGGGAACTTAGATTGATGCAATTGAATGAGCTGGAAGAATTCAGACTGGAGGCATTTGAATCATCCAGAGTTTATAAAGAGAAAACTAAGGCTTACCATGATCAACACATTGTGAAGAAGGACCTGCAAGAAGGACAAGAAGTCTTGTTGTTCAATTCCAAGCTGAAATTCTTTCCAGGGAAGTTGAGGTCAAGATGGACTGGCCCCTACAAAATCAACAAGGTTTAAATCAAGGAGCAGTGGAGATCATGAATCCACAGAATGGCAACACCTTTTTGGTCAATGGGCAGAGACTAAAGCCATATCTTGGTCTGAAAGAAGGGAATAAGGGACAGGACAGTCACGTCCTTGCCCTCAAGGAGCTCAACTGAGATTTTGTGGAAGTCTGGCATGAGACTTAAAACCAATGCGCTTTATGGAAGGCAACCTATACGTTTTGCTTTTGTGTGGCTAATTTTGTTTTATGCCAATTTTGCAGGAACGGATGAGGTATCTGTCACCCCAACGGATTTCAGGAAGTGCAACATAAAAAGGCCTCAAGTAAACTCACCCCCAGGAGTGAAGAAGGTCACTCAGCTGAGTGAACCTACATAAATGTGATTCTGTAAGTCCTTCAAACCCTGACGTCACTCACGCAAGTGGGACAAATCACTTACCTGAGTAAGGACAACTGTACAACACTTTCTGCAAAAGCTCACCGTTTTGAACTCTATTTTACGGTTTAAGTTTGGGGGGAATTTTTTCTAGAAACTTTTCAAAATTCAAATTAAACCGCGTCCATTGTTAAAGCTACACGGGTCAGCCACAACTTCCCAAAAATTTTAACTGATGTGCATTTAATTTCAACTCCTCCACTTCTTTGTCTTCTTCATCTTCTTCTTCTTCTAGAACCAACTCTTCAAATACCACTCCCTTGTGTGTGAACGCACTGACCCATCTCTGAGATTTCAGGCAACCAAGGCAGAATTTCAATTTAGACCCAATTCCCATCGCTTTACCAATTCAGTTTAGGGTTCCTAAATCATGCCGCCGGCAAGGAGAAAGGTAGCTACCCGCAAAAATGCTTCCAACACCAGAAGACGGATATCCTCCTCCTCATCCTCGTCCTCTCCTGAAAGGCAACCTTCCCCTCACCGGGAACCTACACCGACGCCGCCTCCACAACCACCAAGGGCCCTCCAAGAACAAGCCCTCAACGCCATCACACACGAATGGGAGCCAAGGCTATTCCCAAGAAAGAAGGCTTGAGATTTCTTGCTGAAACATCTCAAGCGTAAGATCATTACAGAAAGGGGAATCCGTAAGGATGGTGAAGCGTTCGCCTACATCAAACGCTATAGGTGGGAGATGTTCTCAAGGCCCCTTATCCGGCCCCGGCTTCAGATCGTGCAGGAATTTTCCGGCAATTTCTCCACCGCCCCCAGTAATGGAGTCTTTGTCCGAGGAATATCAGTCAATTGCAGCACAGAAGCCATTTGGGCCATCTAAAAATTGCCAAGAGTCAGCACCGATTACAGGGAAATCATCGTTGCCCTACATCCGAATCAGCCACTGGGGCAAGCAATTCTGTCAAGACTGGCAAAGGAAGGCACAGATTGGGAGAAGGACGATCAGGACAATCGCTTGGGATTCTACGCTAATGCCATGCAAACGCCTGATCTGAATTTATGGCACCACTTCATCTGCTGTAACCTGATGCCAACAACCTACACTGCCAAGGTCACCAACGAACAAGCCATGATACTGTATGCAATTGTCACAAACACGCCACTGGATGCAGCGTCAGTAATCAGGGATCAACTTACCAGATGTATCACAGATCCCAAGGTGAAGAGCTGGTACTTCCCAGTGATGATTACCATGCTTTGCAGAAGGGCAGGGGTGACCTTTCTGAACACAGACGCAGAGAGCAGCCTGCAACAACCTTTGAGGCTGAATAAGTTGGACCAGAGACCCCCAGGTGCATCTTCCTCAAGACAAGTAGCATCCACTCCCACTCCGGCTGGACAGTTGAGGCAGAGAGATTTCAACAAGCAGACCAGGTTCATCCTGGACTATGTCCACCAGTGCCAGATGAGGACTGAGCAATTCCTACAGGAAATGCACAAGTGCATTGGATGCCCTGAAAATTGCCCATTGCCGCATGATCCACCAGCCCATCCACTCCATGGCATGCCTCCATGAACATTCAGGGAAGTGTTGTTCTAATGCCCCTAATCAACAATTTACTTTTTCTATTAAAATGGTGAACTCTTTTAATTTTTGTGGTTTTTATTTGTTTACTGTTTGATTTTTTTGCCGTGTTTGTTTTGTTAAGCATTGAGAGCAATGCTTAGAATAAGTTTAGGGGAGTTGGAGTAGTATTAGTATTGTTGTCAGTTTTTTTAGATTCAGGCCCCTTAGGTTCATGTCTAGATGGAGTCTGTAAATTTTTTGGAATAAAATAAAAATTTTCTAAAAATGAGTTGTCAACAGTCTAGGAGGATAATGGTTTTGAAAAAATTTTGCTAAAACACTTTTGATGCTGAATCTGATGCATGAAGTGAAAGAATGGCTGACACTCACTCACACACATGAACAATGCCACTCGTGGAAGTGACTGCCTAGAACATAAATTCTAAATTTGGCACGACTAATCCACTGTTGTGATCTGTGTCTAGTTCTGAGCTACAAGTAGATGAGAAATGCTATAAATATGAGACTTCCCTTGTGGTATCCATTCACAGCCTGTTTGTTTTCTACAAAAAAACAATAATAATAATAATAATAATAATAATAATAATAATTATATAAAAAGATTGGATCAACTGAAACCTTAGGGGTAACAGCAAGGAACCACCACAAAAAGTTCTAAACTGTTGGAGTAATAAGGGTTGAGGTATAAGGCAGTGAAGAGATAAGGTTGAATAACACCCCTCCCAAGGGTGTAAGGTTGGTCCATCTACATTAAAAAAAAAGAAAAAAAAAACAAAACAGGCAGACAGAAAGGCTATGAAGGAAGTCCATGATTGAAGCCTCAGTAGGTAAATCAAGTCAAAGTAACTTGGGCAAAACCATATCACAAGAATGACCACTACACACTGAAACCGGTTAACTTATAATGGATTGGTAGGTTGGGCATAACTGACACTTGTGGTATGTATTCTAATTTCATGTGAAGGTTGGCTGTTTGACTCTGGATTGCAGAAAGATTTGATGTCTTTAAGTGTATGTTTCTTTACTTGAATCTGAGACAAAAGGTTGACAGCCTCTATCCAGTTTGTGTTGGTGTTGTTGTTTCTATGTTCAGTGTCACATGCCTGAGTGAGAATCTTCACTTAGGGAAGTAAGTCAGTCTTTAGTAAGAAATTAGGGGTATTTCTTAGTATTAGTGCATTTCACTTAACTAGTTTTTGTGTTTTTATTAGGTTAGAACTTGATTGAACAATTACTGAAAATTGGGGCCAAATGAACAATTTATGGGCTGTTGGATACAATTTTGCTGAGCTGGTCGAAAAAGCACTCCCAAGACACAAAACATCTTGACATTAATGAGTGTGTCTCTCATTAGAATTCCAAAGGCATGCTTGTCTCTTTGGCCGAAATTCCAACCACCCATGCTGATCAATGAGGTTGTTGCTGCCACTGCTGGAAGAAGAGAAGAAGACCAGTCGATTTCGGATTCCAGACACAAGGCTTAGGAAGGATTAAACAATTCACAAGCATGTGGAGGCTCTCTTGATTGAAGAACCGGCTTCAGGGCTCTAAAAAAGGGGAGCTGCACTCTCAGAAATGGGCATCTCTGGCTACACCTTTCAGTTGCCAAGAACACACACACAAAAAAAAAAACTCCAGAAGAAGGCAAGAAGGAAGAAGGAACAGAAACAACTCAGCAAGGAAGCCAAGTTGAAGAAACAGCCATCCCAGTCACTGCCTCACTTCCATGAGTGAACTCTTTCACTCTCAGGAGAGGTTCAGAACTGCACAAGCTTTTTTCTCGTCTCTTGACTGTTAGCTTGAACTTCATTTTTTTATGCATACTTCTATGATGTCTTTTGATGTAGTAGATGTAGCATTAATATGCATGAGTAGCTAAGTAGCTTCCAGGGGTTAATCTCCTCAACCTATGTTGGAGTTGTTGTAATGCACTGGTTATGTTCCTTGTTTTGAAGTTGAAAGTTTTTTCTACATTCATTTACTTGATCACTAAATTGAATGCATGCTAGAACTAAGGGAGATCTAGAAAGATAAACTTGGTTTGGATTGTTTCAGCTTCAACTTATGACATAGAGGTAACAGTCTATGGTTTTAACTAAGATAGGAATATACTTAGTTGACATGAGCATTCATGTAAGCTTGAGATCTTAATGACTTTTTAACTGGAATCAATCATTGAAAAATAGATTGTTAAGGTTGCAAAGATGACTCTAGGAAAAAATGAGAACTGACTTAGAGTTATAAGTGAGCTGAATCAACAAGAACTGAACCATTACAGTGCTGATTATACAACTACTGCAGTAGAAAGAGGAGATGAACCCCCCCTGGCTGTTATTCCCCTGAGTGAATGTTTCCATTCTCTTGGGTGACACCTTGTCTAAACTGATAGTCTTTTAACAACGAATTTGGTAATTAGCTGTTCTCGTGGGATTGACCTAGCTTTCATTATCTACAAAAATCACAATCCAAGCTAGTAATATTTTTGGTGAACTCGGCACGCACCAACATACATGATGAATAACAACATAACTGGTTATGAATGACATATATTTGTATGATGAATACACATATCTACGGAATGAATAACACATGTTCAAACGATGAATGACATATATTGACAGGATGAATAACACTATTTTATAGGATTAATGACACATATTTAATTATGTACAATCACATATTACATGATGAACAACATCACTTGTAGTTTGTATCACAATTAGAACAAATATCTAAGCGAAAATAATGAATAACTATAAATAGATGATGAATAAACATTTCACAGAAGAAGAAATCATGACTAGAACAACCCAAAATTGATGATGAATAATGATATCGAGATGATGAATAACCGCCAGAAATAGATAATGATGTCAAAATCTGATTTTCAAAATTAACCATAAATCGATAAACAAGACTAAAACATCGATGAACTAATATGTTTTAAAGATGAATAATGATATTAAACTGATGAACAAAGCCTAGATCTATTAATCTTTTCCAAAATCAACCACAGATCGATGAACAAAACTAAGAAATTGATGAACTAACATCATTAATTGATGATAAATGATGAATAAATATTTCACAGAAGAAGAAAACATGACTAAAACAACCACACATTAATGATGAATAATGATACTGAGATGATGAATAATGCTAGATCTATGAATATTTTCTAAAATCAACCACAAAGCGATGAACAAGACTAAAACATTGACGAACTAACATGTTTTAAAGATGAATAATGGTATTAAACTGATGAAGAGCACCTAGATCTATTAATCTTTTCGAAAATCAACCACATATCAATCAACAAATCTAATCGACGGGAATAATCTCAAATCTTTGCCACCGGACAAAACACAAAACAGATCTGTTAAACTGATGAACAATACCTAGATCTATTAATCTTTTCTAAAATTCACCAGACAAAACACAAAACATATGAATAATCTCAAATCTTACCGTAATTATCATATTCAGCAGCGTTGCAACCAAACTCACGGGATTTGATGCACAATCGGATTTCGTCTTCAAAAATATGGCCGACGAGAGGTTTTGATACCAAATCGCTGTAGAGAATATTTTGTTTTTTAGATTTTTTTAGTTTGAGACGCCTTTGGATTGGAATGAGAAGTTGGATATATATGATTAATGATGGCTGAAAATTAGAAGAGATATTAGGAAATTGAAAATTTGAAAAATCTTTTTTTTAACCCCCTTTTTGAGCGCGTGAATTTCAAACTAGTGTACCTAGGAGTTCTATATTATAACTGCCGAGAAGGTTGCACCAATATGCTAGTACATCCTTTTTTTTTACAATGATGCACAGTACTTGCTTTCCCTAAAAACAATTCAATTTTTTTTAACTGAAAAATGGTTTATTTATTTGAAACCGAAGTAAATTTGTAAATTGATTTCAATCACCCAGCTTGACTACTTGTACGCCAACTATATTGATAGTGACCACACGCGGCAAAATAATAATTAAAAAAATAGGAATAGTAGAACCGCAATTTTAACATTTTTCAATCATTATTTAACAAACACAAGAAGGAACACCAATTCCATTGATAGGATGTGGAATGTGGCTTTTACACAAGTTTGTAACCTAAATTCCGGGAGGAAAAAAAAAAAAAACTAATCTGCAAGTGCTGATCAGTGATCACCAGCACATGATCCAGTTCTGCTGCATTAGTCTTCCATTAGCCAAAATTCTTAAGCTCTATAACATGTGGCTTCATCTAGCTAGCTAGGGTGTACACATTTTAGCCAAATTAATGCGTCATTCTTCGATATGTTGAGTTCTGATTGATCATATAATAAATCCGAGATATACTCTTGACACGATTTTACACATTAGTTGTACTACTGTTCTTCTTGTCAACTTCCTCCTTCTCCTGCATTTCCAAATCGGGAGTAGTTGCATTCTCGATCGGCACCAATTTGTTACTCTTCTCTGCCTCTTTTTTCTTCCCCCACAATACCATATATAAACTGATAATTATGATCAATCCTCCCAGCAAGCTGTTTGTCATGACAAAAAGAAAAAAAAAAATCAGTCACCAAGTCATTAGTTTGTGATACTAGATAGCTCAGTATCGAAATGCGAGACAAGTGATATTATTAATATGAGACGGAGATTTCCAAGATCTGTGGGACAGTTCACAAGGGTCCACCCCGAATATGAGAAGGACATTGTCCAGACAAAATTAGATAGTTGAACTTAAAGTTTTAGATGTATATGAATTAGTATATATACACAAAGTCACAAAGATAGATTTGTGACATTAATTAGGAAAAGGCAACTTACTTTCCCAAGAATAGGTCCTCCTCCAACACTAGCGAACTGACCAAGCCAGTAACCACAAGCACACAAGGATTGAAAACTGCAGCAAATGTTGGACCTTTCATTCGTACAACTACCGCGATTATGGTGAACAGTACCGCGGAGCAGACAATCCCCTGCAAATAACAGAATTGATTAAAAAGATGTGTAAAACTGATTCACAATATTACAACAATAGATAGCACAGTTCAAATGAGCTCACGTACTTCGGTCATGAAAATCATAAACCTTACCGAGTAAGCAACAGCTAGGAGTCGTATATTCCATCCTAGCTTCCATTCACTGGGGTCTCTTTGCATGCAAACTGCGTAAACAGCACTCGAAACCGCTGATGTGAAATTCATGAGACCTGTAAAGGATAATGGAGCAGGATAATCGACAGATGCTCGCGCCTGTTCCAAGGAAAACAAAAATAAGTTCGTCAGAACAAGCAAGACTCTTATTTTGGTACCAAGATTAAAAATATATCAGTTGTAAAGAGTTTCATAATGATTTTGTAACGGGAAACCTGCCTGTATGATCAACCAAAGTGAGTAAGAAACACAACTCAACAACCCGAGGATGATTCCGATCACGAGTTTATGATCACCTCCAGCAGCTGCTGGTTTGGTGGCTGAATGATGGCTGCTGGTTAGCTCCAGAAGGTTTAGTTTTGTATCCCAAATGGTGACATCTGGACCTTTGTAAAATGTGAACACCATGGCTCCGCCTATTCCCAATATTGTTCCCAACATCTTAGCTTTGCCTGCTGCTGTTTTCCAGCCTAACTTTTCCAACCTGAGAAGATTTGAAACATTTAGCAAAAAAAAGTATATATACATACATTTATCCTACTATATCAATGAATTAAAGGAAAGAAAACCTGAAGCAAAGGGCGACGAGAAATGTGACAGCAGGAACAAGATTTAGCATGGCTGAGACAAATGTTGCAGATGTCAGGACCAAGCTTTGTAGATACAGATTCTGGCCCAATGAACCTCTGCATATATGACAATAATTAGTCATAAATGAATTAATTAAATTATAGTGCAAGAATTGATACAATAGTAACTTTTGGAAAATGGACTTTTCGGGTTTCTAAAATTAACTCACCCGAATAAACCAGCAAGACAGGCGTAGAAGAAGACTTTCCATGTCAATTTCGGCCTTGATTTTCTGGAGAAACATATTGATTGAATTTTGAGAATGATAGCAGATTTTAGGTAAATGGGATTTTTCAGAAAGAATAAATCAACGAGCCTAAACGCCAGAATTCACCAGGAAAGTTTGAAAAGAAGTCATTAAAAAAACAAAACAAAACAAAACAAAAAATCTAGATAATCCTCATGATGATTGTACATTGTATGCACATTTACCAAATATGGAATTCTTCATATTATTTGAAAAGGCAGAAAAAGCTTTAACCAAGAAGGGGGAAAAAAAAAATTTTATGGCTGAAAAAGCTCTGATTTAAAGTTTAAACCTCATTCATGATCCCAACACTCACAAAAATCCTACCGTAAACCCAACAAACCCAAATACAAAATTATTAATCCTACAAAATCGAAAAAGAAAAACAAAGGGATCCATTCATGATGGCAAAACTTTGAGTTAATTAATTCTCCCCCTTAAATAAAATGTAACTCATTCAAAACACATTTAAGTTTCCATAAACCTAAGATAAAACCCATTTCACCATTACTATACAATCTTCATTTATTCATCCAAAAAATCAAATGGGAAATAAAAAGGGAAAAAACAAAAGAGCAAAAAAAAAAAAAAAAGAAGAAGAAGAAGTAAGTTGAAAACAAATCCCAAACCTTTCGGAAAAGAATGAAATGGGAGCCATGAAAACAGCCCCGAAAACAAAACGATAAGCCACGATAACCCGACTATCCATCCCATCATTGGCTGCCAGTTTCAACAATATATTCATCCCCGACAACATTACCTGACCGGCGATCATCATCACCGCCGGCTTCCACGCGCCGCCGTCGCCGTGACCGCCGCCATTCTTGTTCATACCGAACGGAATTATAGTAAACAAATGTGGAAGGTTTTTTTTTTTTCTCTTTTTTGAGTCAAAGAAGGGAATATTAATATTTAAAGAGGGAAAAAAGAAAGAGTTGAAAATGTGTTTACTACTACCCAACAGAAAACCTAATGGGGGTTTATATAGATTTATAAATCTACAACAAAAAAAGACAAAAAAATCGAAATCTAATTTCCGGATTCAAAGAATACTAGAAAGAGAAGGTTCTTCTCTTTAGGTCTTATCACGTCATGGCAAACGTAATGAATTTTCAGGTGCTGATTTTTTAAAAGAGTACTCAGGGCTAGTTTTACGGAGTTTTTTTTTCTTTTTTAACTTAAACAGTCAAATTTTGATTTAATAATATTGACTAATTAATGATGAGCAATTTTTATAGTTTGTAAAGATCCTTATATAAAGGTGGAAAAGATAAAAACAAACAATTGAATTGTATTTATCTTCCTAGCTACTAGAAACAACAAAGGTATACCCATCATATACCAGCTTTCAATTAATGTGCCAAATTAATTAATCACATTATATACTAATTTGCTCTTCTTTTCTTAAGGAAAACTTATCGGCACCTTGCTATCCCTTTTGAGATCAGAAAATTAATTGAAAGTAAGTTGTATAAGATCGACGAAAAACAATCATTATTATTTAAAGATAGGAAGAACACATACATTTAATTAAGACTAACGATATTACCAGTACAGATATTAGTTGCCAGAGCAAAATTAAATTGTTTTTTCCATAATACCATTAAAGGGTCAAAATACGATTTCACTCCATCCCTCTCCAATCTATATTTCTGCAGCAAATCTGCTCCACCCAAAACCAGAGCTTCCCAATCCTTTTTTTTTTTCGGAAACAAATTTTTCAGACTACAATTCTCAACATTTAATTATTAATTTTTACATCACAATCAATCACTTGATCGATACTTACTCAAAGTTAACAATTATCACCACTCTTTTTCAGATAAATTTGCTTCCAAAATGAAGACAGAACTTATAAAATTCAGAAGCACCAAATTTGTAACGAAGAAATATCAAATCGTCATTTTGTCTTTGCAGGAGCATATAAAATCCATTGCCCCACCTTGGATTTTGAATTCAAGTTTCAAGGGATGAAATTTTGCTAATTGATCTGTCACAAGAACAAAAAACTTGCTTGAATCCATAAAGCTTCTAGCTTCTTTGGACTTAATTAATTCTAATAGCTATTCATGTGCATATATGTAATGAAAGGCAGTATCATTGAAACTGCGATGAATTAGGATTAAAGGCAAAAGTTGAATTAAAGAAGAGGAATTCGAAATAATCAAATCAAGTTTGCCAAGAAAAAGATAAGAACAGGGAACAATGTTTATAGAAAAGCGGTTTGACTTAATAAGATTAAAGTAGGAAAAATAATTTAACTTTGCTCTGTCGACTAATTTTTGCCTTGGCAACATCGCTAGCCTTTAATTAATCTTTATTGTCACGAACACTAAAGAGATCGACAAACTTGATTTAGTAACAATCTGACCATATAATTGAAAGCATGCAATATTTATGAGGTTTAAAGTTTCTACATCAAATGAAGCAAAGATCCCGGGCCACTTTTTTATTTGGTTTTATCCTCAGTTATATATGAGTTAAGTTGCCATCTGAAATCAGCAATTAGTTGATGATAATTTACTTGAAATTTTGAATTTTCATTTTGTTATCTATTTATTATCAATGAGCTGCTTTGGTTTTGTTTATTTTAGGAAATAAAATGCCAAATTTGTTTCAACATGTAAATAATGATTTTACGGCTCTCAATTTAGTTGGTGAGAATTGTCACGCATTTATAGAGGAGGAACTACGTCGCAACACTGTGTTTCAATTGAAAACCATGCCATTTTCTTAAGCAGGAAAAAGGTTATTGTATATGTGTTCATATTCGTAGGTATTTAACTTAATCTATTATATGTCTTTGTAAAAAAACTAGTAGATTACTCTTTGTGAGGTCCAACCAGTTTGCTCTTGCATTTGATGAATTGTTTTGCTCAATCTAGTTGCTTGAACACCAACTATAATACTCACGGATCTTAATTATAAGATAATAAATTAATACTAAACCTAGTTAGAATTTGTATCTAATTTATTTTCCATACTCTTTTTTGGGTGTATAATCTCTCGAGTCAAGCGAATAGAAAAAGTATGAAAGTGCCTTAAATATCGAGATATTTTGAACTCAAACAATAATAATGGCAATAAGGATCGACGATGACTGGAACGATTGATCCGAAAAAAAGGATAAGGAATTATAATTTCTTTAGCGCGCTTGAGTAACGGCTCGGCTTGCGATACTTATTTTACTACTTCCTTTGTTCCAAAAAAATATTTTACATTGAGTTTTCAAATTTGTACAATATTAAAAAACAGTATCGTTTTATAAAAGTCAAAGTAATCTTTCTTTTTATAAAACCAAAAGTGAACCTTAAAATCTAACTTGTAGAAATACATTAGGGCAATTTACTTACAGATTTACGTGATGTTTGTCTCTAAAATGTAAATTAATTTCGTGTGTGACGGATAGGAGACGGACTAGATGGAAACTTAAAGAAGTTTCTCAAAATTATTCAGCTGTAAAAACGAGGTGGTTTATAATGGAGATGCATGTATGATGCAATATTTTAATTTTCGTATAATGTATGAAACGATTATTTACTGAAAAATATGCAGCTTGAATCACGTTTGTATGGCAGTTGTTCAGTATTTGTTTGATTTTAGGTCACTAATTAGATAGTCGGATCATTTAAGGGTGTCATGCTAGATTTCGAGATCTAGAGTTTGTACTTGTTGCCCATAAGTACGTAAGGTTTCAGAAAATTGTAATTCTTTTTTCGTTCTGAAATAGAAATTAAATCTTAATACTATATTTGATATTATAAATGAAACAATCATTTTAGGATTAGAAAAAATATACGATGAAAGGTGTAATCGGGTGTCAATCGTAGTTGTTGGGAGTTGTATTACTTGCCTAGAAGTAGTTTTTGGGTAAAATGTGATTATGTATCATTTATTAGAAACTTAGTTAGGAGCTACCTATGTCAGGTGACTTCATCATGTATACATTATTGAGGTGTTGTTATCATATCCTCAAACTTATAATCATGGTACAATTTACTAAAAGTAAAAAAAATCTAAACTAATCAATTATTTTAAGACCGGAGGAATATATGAAAGGTGTAATAAATAAATAAAAAAAGGTAATCAGTTGTTGATATTACATAAAACTTTCGTTACTTTTTCCCCCTTTTTTCGGCCAGAAAGTGGACGTTTCTACGATTTTAATGAATAAAAGTAACAATATTAGAAGTGCATAAGACAACAAATAAGCTAACCCCGAACATAACAATGGTACTCTCTATCCCAAGATAGTGGTCCTGATTTTATTTTTATACTTTTAATATAAGTTGCACTAAAAATAAAATATAAACTGGACAATCATTTCAGGTCTGGATGAATATTAGTTAGATTTTCAACTTTACTTTTGGTTCTCTAATAACCAACTACATTACATATGCCACTAAAATACTCCTATTCAAGAATTTACTAATGAATTTCATGGTTAATTTTAATTATTGTAGCATTGTGGCAACTTTAAACATGTAGATTATCCCTGTCTTCTTAATTATAAAAAGAGTTCAATGTGCCAAGTCAGGATAGGAAGTTCATAAGCAATGAAAGATTTATAAATTTTTATTTGTACCGGCTTAGTATTGATTCATGATCTATATATCTAAAAATATCATGATAAGATTTTTATTTTTATTTTTTTAATACCGAAAACCCTACCAGAGATGGTAAACCCATGCCTACTGTAATAGTCTGAAATTATGATAAGACTTTGGCATATATTTGATATCAAACTATGATAAATAAACAAATAGATCATATTGGTTTCTTATTGTTTTAAGGTTTTAAAAAAAAAAAAAACAAGTTAGCAAGAACCCAAAAACAGACAGTTTCACTAATCCAGAAGCCAGAACCCAGAAGTCCCTAACCAGGGATAATAAAGAACACAGAGATTCTAAAATTTTTAAAGAGAGCTAATAACATTGTATAATTATGTACATATATATATACACCTTAATGTACAATTTGATTTCATTTGCTTTTACATTTTATAAATAACATGCACACCTAACTCATTATCATCATGACTAATCCGAGTTCGGGATAAGTCACTTTCAAAATCTAAAAATTCCCAACATTTTTCTTTCCCATTCATGAACTTATATCCTCTCAAAAAAGAAAGGTTCCGTTTTCTCCAATCTCTCTCACTTAAACTCCGAAAAATATTCACCAAATATTGGATGGAACCAATTTGAACCATTGGCTTTGAGGGTTCGTGGAATTGCCAGCAGCACTAATGCATTTCTTGGTTACAACTTTCTGGGAGGTGGAAGTATCCCAGTCCAGGCACAAATCCAACCCCTTGTCATCTCTCATGGAAATCTGATTTTGGGATTTTGTGAAGAACTGCCACGTCATACGACGGCAATGATCGGTGATAACCACCGGAGATCCGTCTCCCACTGCCCTAAGGCACAATCGAGTGTTTAGTATGCCCAATGGAAACCATATTCCCTGGTAATACCATTTAGTTGTGTTAAAACAGTCCCCCAAATAGACCTTAGAGTTGTTCACTGTTGCGCATTTCCCACTCAATGGATGGTACATTATTAAGTAACCAGTTTTATTTGAATATGGATCTGCAAAAATAAATTGAGACGATCTTAATTAGTCTATGAATAATTATACTTACCGGTATACAACTCAAAAGTATTTTCGTCATATAATTATATCTTTTCTTTTTTACAAGATGCCACATATAACAGAAGGTGCCTATTATATATAATCTCTCTATCATGAAATGATTATTCAATTTGAATCGTTATTTTCGTACACCTTGTACTAAAAATAAAAATTCGAAAGTAAATAATCATTTCGAAACTGAGAAAGTACATAGATAATCTATTGTATGTTATTCTTAATCATAAACTATATATAACATAATCATAAACTATATATAACAGGAGTAAAACCAAACTTTTATTATGATATGGAAGAAATAGTAAGAGAATTCACGAAATTACTCCGAGTAGAATTCAGAATAAAAAGTTGTTTTAAAAAGCTAAGGGGGAACATAAATTAAAATAAAAAAAATTAAAACATCAAAAATTTCTTACGTTATACCTTGAATTTTCCGTTGAATAAAGTGCAATTTGTTGACAAATTCGGGGTTCTTGACAGCCGTCCAATTAGCATTCAAAATCCCATAGGGTTCAACGGGATCAATTTCTTCTTCCCTGTAGTAATAAGAGCCTTGTAATCCCCAAAGTCCCCAGTCAAGATCATTCTCAACAAGATAACTCATCAAACACGGCAGATAATCATTGTCAGCAGCATTGGCACCAGTTTCATCAACCCCAAATTCGGACACGAAAACCGGGCCAGACGTATTATTACCCTTAAGCAAAAATCCCACTTTTTGTTCCATATCTTGGGTCATTTGGTCACAAGCATCGTTCAGAGATTGGTTCAACCAAATGTTTTGGTCTCCAAAAGCTGGGTTTGGGTTAGTGAAGGAATACCTGTGCACTTCGTACACGAGTTTGTTTTGGGCATTCGTACACAAGGTCTTGTTTTGGAAGTACTGGAGATCGTGATCGTAGTTCAGCCCGGATACTATGATCAAGGCGTTTGTGTTGAACTGTGTGATTAGGTCTACTCCCGTCTCAACGTTCTCTATCCAGGCCGTCCAGTTTTGATTGGGCCCCCGCAGCTCGTTTCTTAAGCTCAGTCCCACAACCTTGCATGTTAAGTTTAATTTTAGAGAGGAAGAAGGAAGCAGGAGAAATTTGACAAAGTAATTAAATCAGAAGTTGCGCTAATTATACCATGAAAAGAAACCAATTCTTAGGTGATTGATTGATTAATTCATACAAGGTTTGTACCCTTTTGTTTCATAAAGATTGTCAACATTACGATTTATAGCAGGGCGGTTTAACGTTTCAAAGAGCCTAAAGCGAATTTTCTGGTTGGGGCCTTCCAAAAATAAAGAACTAAAAAAAATAGTCCTATTCGTTTATTTACGTTTAAGAGACATGTTGTTATAAAGTAAGAAATTATAATAAGGGGATTTTTTTGAAAAAAAAGATTAATTTATCTTTTAAACTTTTTTCTCTATCAAAATTTTTTATAGGAAGTTAATTGTTTACTTTTTTTTTGGAGAAATTGAAACTTTCTAATCTAATTGATAACTTGCATACTTTCTAGAAAAGAATCATTTTAATTGATTTAGTGGTTTTGAAAATTAGGAGTTTATTGTGGGAATTTTAAAAATTGATAGTTTCATTTGCACATATTTAGATATGTGGAGTTGAAAATAGAAATGAAAATTTTTAATTTTCTTTCGAAAGCAAGTATTATTTTGTTTTGATTTTTCTTCTATTTATACATGTATATAATATAATTTTTTGAAGGGTATACATATAAAATTGTTAGCTATTATTAACAATTTAGGGTGCCCTTCTCAATTTGGGGGCCTAAAGCAATTGCCTCGCTTTATGGAAGAGCCACCACTGATTTGTAGTGTGAATTATTTTCATGACTATATGTGTAGAACTGAGTAGATATAGATAACAGAAAGAGTATTCTCAATGAACTGGCCAAACACTAATATTGGTATTAGAGTGACAAAAAAAAAAAAACCGTACGTACCGCAGGAGTACCGCTGTATCGTATAGCCACCATGGACAAGGCTCTCATCCATTCTTTAGGATCAAAATACGTATCACCCCAGAATCCATTCCCGTCGTTATCACGGCAACACGGCTTCGGTTCACTGACGTGATTGTCAAGTATCACCATTAACCCTTGCGAACCAAGTTCATCTATAACTGCACTTTGAACCCTCGCAACCGTAGCTTCCAACAACGTCGGGTTATACATATTGAATCCGGAAATCGCTCCCCTCAACCCCAGCGACTCCAGGTTCTTCATCGCCGTGGTGGTGTCGTCGATCGTAAACATGTTGGTCGCGTACGTGAGCCGGACACAGTTGAACCCTAGTTTCTTAATGTTCGACACGATGTTGGCCAACGGCGCCTTGTGAAGCCCTTCCGGCAACATTGTTTCCTGATGTCCCGGCCAGTTTACGCAAGCGAGTTTTACCCTTTGTCCTGTGGCGTCATCTCGGATCCACCTCTTGTCGGTTGAAAGCGGATATCCACATGACGGAATCGGGAGATTGACGAGGGCGAGGAGGGCGATGAATAGTGTGGATGCATCCATGGTTGCATAATTTGTATGTTTATCACATGGTTTGAATTGCTTGAATTTTTGTCCAACAAGTTTCTCACAGCTAGGGTTTTTTCTTCTTTTTTTTAACGTTGGCAATATCTTATGAAACAGCTACATTTGCATTTGCATGGATGCATTTTTTTTTTATTTTTTTTATTTTTGGATTAACAGTTTACTTGTTTTATCTTTGGTTGAAAGCTACATTTATGGGGAACGTTTAATTTTACAAGAGATAGAAAACTATTTGGGACATGGTAGAACGTGAAATGAGGTACACAAACTAATTATAGTTTGGTTATTTGTCCACTTGGCTCATGGGTAGACATTATCCTCCATCTTTGATTTGGAATATCTTATTTACATAGAATAAAGAGATAATCTCCTTTTTGTGGCTCAGTTAAGTACGAATTGCTGGTGATTTCTGTCAACGTGACAACGTATGATTGGACCTCATCTTTTCCCCTTCTGGTCGTTCCTTTTCTTGGCCTGGTGATGTCCTTCGGTACCAGTCATATTCACACGGTATACTTGCTCCGTGCTCTTCCTTCTTTCTAACTCATCACACTGGCCGTTGTCGGGGGCGAAAGCAGAGGCCTCCGTGAAAGTGTCTAAGCTGATTCGTCCCAATCAATTTCTTCTCTCCTCCTCCAAAATCGAGCGTGGCTGCATTGACAGGAAGTGTACATTTGCCCCTTTCAATACATATGATCGTTAATTCCCTGCAGAATTGAGTTTCTGTGAATCGACGGAGACAGGAGGGGGCAGGCGGGTGCTGCGCGCTCCCTCCGTTTTTAGTTTTTCTTAAGAATACTAAATATACATCAAAGAAAAAAAAATCAAATTGGTTCATTTTCGTACCCCCTTCAGAAATTATTATTCTAAACTTTTCAGTTAATTTGCACAAAAAAAAATTTGAAACAATCTCACAGTACGTAGAACAAATATATTAAATAAAAATATCTTAAATAACACAGTTTTGAATTTTTTTTTATTGATTTTCATATATTCCAAATGATAACAATGAAAAGACCGTTAACAATAATTATTATTCAACGCCTGTAATAATTATAATAACATAACATATATTTGAGATTGAAGTAAAGGCTAAAGTGTTAAACCGAAAAGTAAAATTTTAGAAGTGTATTTTGAATTAGCTAAAAAAAAAAAAGATAATAAAAGGTGAAATAATAAAGTTTATCCATTAGTTGAAGATTATTTGTCATGCTTACTCATACAACAATGACGGAAAATTTTATTTACATCATGTTTTATTGTATTCGTTTGATAGTAGTAGAATGTACAAGCTAAAATTTTTTTATTTTCAAAAAAATGTCCAATTTATGTTTTTTTTTTTGGCTCTATTGATTACAAAGTATGTTTTCGTATAAGTATGTTTTTTACTAATGCTGAAAAGATATCTATGATTGAAAGTACCCGACTAACTTTTAATACTAATTTTTATAATATTTACTTTTTTAAAATTGTGGATTTAACCATCTCTACTTGAGTTACCAGCGTACAAAAAAATAAAAAAATTAAAACACACAACCATATAATAAATTCTAAGTTTAATTAAAATTTGAAATATTAATAGAGTGATGAAACTAATTAGTTCCTTATAGATGATCTTGAATGAGGAACAAACATTTTGTAATATTTGAATACTGAAATATATTTTTTAGTTATTTTGTTGATTTTATTTCGCACATCTAAGTCCTCCGCCACTGGCAACGACTATGATCACTTTCTCATCAAAATTCAGAAAAAGTGATCATCAATTATCGTAGATAGAGTCTTTTATGAGCTCTTGGTGATTTTTGTATTACCTTTTTGAATTTTAAATTCGTTGCTTTATTTTCACCATTTGAACCTGTGTTTCTCTTTACCTAAAATTTTGTTGTTGAAATTGAATGTAGGCTCCGATTTGCATGAGTTTTGTATTTGAAATTTAGTTGATGTTTGGGTCGCATGCGAGGTGTTTGTTTTTGGTTTTGTGAGTATAAAGTTGTCAGTAAGATAATTGCTAAATTGGTTGTGCTCTTGGAAATCACTGATGAAATGAGAGATTAGGCAAGAATTTGCGATAGTAGGCAGGAGTTTATTTTGCAAGAAAAAAGATACTCCGTCCCATAATTATTGTCCAGCTTGAGTTTTCATTTCTAGTTCAAATTATACAAAAAGTGAAATTTAAAACTGGACAATAATTATGGGACGGAGGGAGTAATAAATTCAAGAAACTAGTACTGGACGTATGAATTTTGAGATTGTTGTTTACTGAATGAAGTGATGATTATTTTTACGCTGAAGATAAGGCAATCTTAATTAACTTAGCTGAAGTTGGAGATTCAAGATTAACCCAATTAGCAAGTTCATTGCTACAGAAGTTGATAGAATGCTCTGGCAAACAGTTGCTGAAAACCACTATTTTGGGCACACAAATTGGAAAGCTCCAACATGGATTAGAAGCTTTATCTTTCTTGCAAGAATTCACATACTCTTTTATTCGTACAATAAGGTTAATTAGTCCGGCAGTAACAATATCACTTTGGTTCTGGAAAAGAAAATTCGGGATTTCACAGAAAGGTAGTTTATTGTTATTCTGTTTATCTTCCCTTCATCCATTTAAACTTAGGTGTTTAAATTTTCCTCCTTGTTAGCTACAATTGAAGTTAGCTTATTGAAGAGTTTTTTTTTTTTTTCCTTCTGATCGAAAATTAAAATGCTAAGTCCTTTTTTCCGTCTGTCAATTAACAAAACCATCACAATCATTCGCACCATTACCATATAACCCATATAACCGGCACTACTATTTGTAACTGCACTTTGAATCCCTAAAAAAAAAAAAAAAAGGCACTCCGTCATCACTCATCATGATGTGTGATTATGTATATATTTTATTCCTGGTCTTAGTGTCATGTAGAACTTTGTTTGCATTTCTGTGGCAAATGGAGGTTATTACTCCAAATAAAAGTTTTGTTTGTTTTAGGCTTTTTCACTCTTTATTCCTCTTTTTCTAACTAAGCCATTCAGGAAAGGAGTCGCAAGCTAAGCGGCCATTAAGAAAGAAATTGAAGGAAGAAAAGAGCAGACTGAGAAAGGAGAAAGAGCTAAACAAATGTGAGTTTGACTTGGTTTGTTTGCATCAAAAAAATTGCTTTTGCTGAGAAATGAGTTACGGGAAAAAATGAAGACCAGGAACGATCAGCGCCGTCAAATATTTTTACCAAAGTTTAAAAGGAGAAGATGACAGCTTCCCTTGAAGTGAACCAAGTGGATGATGTTGAATTTGTCTGGTTCACCTTGCCTTGGTAGCTGATGACCGACAAGTTCCCATCTTTGCCAAACTAACACTCTTCAGTAGAACTTCTTTTTAAGGAGAAACATGATTCACATTTTTGTTTAGCCATTCTTCACAGTATCTCATTCTGGATCAAGTAAGGAAGCTCTATATGTGGCAGCTTGATGGCCAATGTCTAAACTCGCAGATGATATCGTTTGCATTCTCAACAGACGAATTTGATGAATGAATCACCAGCTACCAGATGAAAGACGAAATAATTGCCAACAGAAAGTTGGTCTGCCTTGATCATTTCATTTCATCCAATATTATGGTGAAAGAATGGTCTATCTGTATGGTTCTCTATTTTGCTTTATATACATACAATCTCAAGTTTCAAAAAAAATTAATGACCTCAATCCCTGTGCTATCATGATTTATAGATTCTGAGGTCCATTTTCTACCTTCTAAATCACTTGCAGATCAATGTCTCATGGAAGGGACTTTTGATCAATTTCATAAAGAAGAGCCTTAGATGAATTACTACGTAGACTAGAGCAGGGGGTGTTTCTTCGAGACTGTCGTTTGGTGGGAACAAGTGCAGGTTCCTGCCAATCATCTATGGCGGCCAAATTGTTCTCGATATCATCTGCAGCCCTGAAGACTGGGTGGATGTATGCATTTTTCAGGTAATCCTTCAAATCGACATTCGGATCCCGTGTATGATCCAAGGTATCTTTCATCACAGCTTGCTGCAAATTTGAAATGATTGTCAAGTCATATTCCTCCAGAGCAAAGTTAAAGGAAAACAAACCGAGGCAGATTTGACAACGATGAATACCTGTAGAGGGTATCTAACAAAAGCAGGTTCATAACGACCTTTGCAGTATCTGTCGAAACAAATGGTCAATATAGGAAGGGTAATGAGCAACGGAGTTGACTGAGAAGCTTCCTTGGTGCTTAGCAGTCCCAGTAAAAGCAGCTGGGATACTATTAATGCCACGATGATGCGTCCATGAACATCAGGCCAGAATGCAGCAGCGCTCTCATATTCTTGATTATACACATTTATGATCTGCAACGAATAAACTTTGCCAATGAATCAACATGAAAACAAAAAGAGTTGCTTATATGATCGATATGCAAGAGGCCTAACAGGAATTTGATTGTTCAATGGCAGCATAATCAATACAATGTTGTTTATTCCAAATGCAAGTTAGTTATGAAAGGCCAGAAGAGTGCCTTGATCTGGAACCACTTTGGCTTATACATGAAAACATAAAACTTAATTACTGTCATTCTACAAAAACCAAAGTGCTGTGTACTGTCTTTCCTCTCCCTTCCCCATTGAGGTGTAATCTATTACAGTTAAGAATATAACTCCAATATTAAGCTCAGCATGGGACAAAAAGGGACCCCCGACAAAACTTTCAGACATATCAGGTTCGATAGAATATGGAGGTGGATCGCATGGATAAGGGGAGCAGTTGAGGTCAAAGGGGTCAAAATTCACAGGATTATTGTTAAAACTTTTGAAACAAGTACTATTAATGTTTAAAAGCGTCATTTAGCTCTACCAGAAGAATAATGTGGACAGTGATCTTCTTGAGATCTGTGAAAGCTTTCATCATACCTGATGCCGATACACAACATACGCGAGCCCGAAGAATATGATGATGAAAGGAAGCAAAATTGGAGATACAACAGCATAAACTAAGCCCAGCAAGAAATACAACTGAATCTGAGGTTCTCCAGTGTTGAAACCAAGGCTTCCAGGGTCCATTGCTTGCTCCCTGTCAGTTTCAGTCTTTACCAGGAAAAAATTCTTCAGGTGGAATATTATCAAAGGTCTCAACCTAAGAATCTCGCCAGCAACTCCAGCCCATCCATCCACCATAATGTACGTTATGAAGAAGGTGGCTTTCATGGGTATGGAGACACCAATCGTCTTTGGGATCCTGCAGAAGAAGCTCTTCAATTTTCCATCTGAGTGGAGAATAGTAAAGGGTCCAGAGAGACGCTACAACTTATCTAAAACTACACAAGACACAAATGAAAAAGCAGGCACAAATCCGGTCATATGTCAAGTTGGAATAACTCTTGGTAACATCACAATAGGTTTTCTCAGAAGTGAGAATTAATATTGTGTCTAGAGTTTATCTCATTGAAAGGTATAGATGCTCTTAAAACAAATATATTTTGGAAGGTTTTCTCGTACTTGTTCATACATTATAAGACAAATATCTATCAGAAGTATATCTAGTACTTTAAAAACACATGGTGCTGGTGACTCTAATTTTTTGAACTTAAAATTTTCTCGAATATCAGAGTTACTTTTTGTTACAAAAATATAAACGATTAATGAGCATCTTCCTTTACAAAGCATTATTTACTGACAGCATGTAAATTAATGATAAAGGAGAATTTACTTATCGTAATAATGTCATTATTAGGAATTCAACTGATTACGTTTCTTCAGAAGAAAAATATTTTAGTTACCCCTTAAGAAAGATCAAGTGCAGAACAACTTTTTAGACAAACAAATCTTCATACGAATTGTCTTTAAATTTTGAAATGAGAAATACAGAAGAGTCATATGTAAGGAAACCATACTCGTTGGGGGACTGGTGAATGAATTTATTCAGTTGTTGAAAGGCAGTTCCAGTTATGATGCTTCCGAGGAAGACATTTATGAACTGAAATATATAGTATCTTGTTGCAGATCTTCTTTCAAGAGCTGATATGGAGCTGAATCCTTCAAACCTGGACATCAGCATCAGTATGGATGGTAGAAAGATGAGAAAGATCTTCAAAGCGATTCCAGGAAGAAACCCCTGGATGAATGACTTGATTGCTTTCCTGCATCAGAAACAATAATACATGTTCATCAAATGCAAATAAATAAAACACACAATAGAATCTTTTTTATTATATGTTTAAGAGGACTTAGATAGATGGAGCCACAACACATTTCTCTCTGTCAACACAGCATTAGTTCACTTTTTTGAAGCTTAAACATGATTCGCATAAAAAAAAAATGGATTGACAGGGTACTTTTTTAGTGGCTTCAGGAAATGAACTCACTTTTCAATGATTGGCTTCAGAAAAGGAATTGCTTTCTCAATTCCCTCTATATTAGCAAGGGACTGAACAAAAGCAATCGGAATCATGAAGAAGAATGTGAGAAAGAAGAATGCAACAACAATGACAAGCCTCCTGACAGTAAGTGAGACATAAGGAATTGCTAGATTATTCCAATAAACATCGCGGGGTTCTGGAGCCCATTCAGTTAGCCACAAAGTAGGATTTCTGGACTGCTGAGTTTGTGCACAAACAGCAGCTCCCCATCTAGTTTTAAAGGAAACAAATGCAGCAGGCATGATATACTTCGCATTGTGGTCGATCTTCAATCTCTCACTAGTTATCTGACATCCATGAACACAGAATGACAAGTTAAGCAGATATTGAGACTGGAAGTCAGGGATTTCAGCACCAGAGACTAGTAAGTCGGTGAAGAACAGTTTTCTTAAGGGGGCTAAGAGATTTTAATAGCAGTAAAACCTCGAGTTTATCTTAAATGAAACAGAAGCAGAAGAACCTATGTCCATATACCACACCCAGAAATCTTCTCATGAAGCAACTTTGAGGATCACAAGCAGCCACTTAAATGAGAAGTAATACAATGATATTTCTCCATGTATTGTCTCAAGTGACAAGATATTTTAGCTTTAAGAAATGTATGCCACCATCCTTACAACTCAAAAAAATGCATCTCAAGATGAGATACCTATTTAAAATTATTGTATACAAATTAAGAAATGCATGAAATATTTATCTAAGATAGTGGAGAGCACGTTTTCTATAACCAAACGTAGAGATGCGGTACTACAATGAGACTTCAACATTTTTTTCAGTACATCAAAGCTTTTTAGCTGAGTTAGTAGTTATGCCACAAATGTAGCATACGACAAAGAAACTACAAAACAGCCAATAAGGATTTCTTTGTTCCATTCCAAAATTATTAGTACAATAAACACCATCCTTTTCGAGTATTTTCCTTTTCAATAAACTAGAATCATAAGCCCATTAGACAGCACATAACCAGAAGCTTAGTCCGTTCTTACAGTTGGTCTTTAGCAAGGAATAGATTGCACAGATGATCCCTTAACTCTAGCTTTACAATTAATGCACAATTTACTATTTGAATGAGGTCAAAGACTCCTTCACTTACGACCATCATTGTCAATATCAATCCTCCCACTTCACTTTCGACTATAACTAAAAAAAATACCCTCCAGAGAAAAGGAAAAAGAAAAATTGAAAACAACCAGGTTGTTGGTAAAATTCAGATCACAAACTTTAAGTCATAGATGGTGCCCTATGATATCAAAGAAGGATAATTTTGTCTGTTTTCTTTTCCTAAGTATATAACCAGAATGGCCTCGCTTCTGATCCAAGCTTTTCTGAAAAACTCAAAAAAGGGTTTCGGGTAATGAGGATAAGGGACTGTTCGGATGATCTACTCCTACGTTCAAATGCATACATAGACCAGGCACATACTAAAAAGAGTAGTAACTAAATATGTGATACCCTTTTAGTGGAATATTTATATACACGACCTAGGACTAGGACCATGTAGGAAATGTAAGAAGGATGTACTGTTCGTAAGTTCAAACTAACTTTAACTCAATGTAGAAGTCTTCAAGAAAAGCGAAATGGTCACTTACTTCCTTATCAAGTCTGTCAATTTCAGCGGTGTAGAAGTCAATGGCATCCACTGTTTTACCAAAAAAGCCAAGAAAACCAGTCTGCTCAATAGAAAATATTTTCCTCAGAATTTGTTTGCTATATGGTGTAAGAAATGCTTTGCAGATAATAGCTCCTTGATCTTGTAAAGAAGTCTAATGCTGAAGCCACCATATGAATATGGTGAGATACCTTGGCTCTGGGTCTTCTTGATTGGTTTCTAGCATATTTCAGTTGATAATAGTCAAGCCAGTTTTGACACTTCTTTTTCTCATTTACTAGACCAGTGAGTTTGTTTGCGTTGTACACAACCTAAAAAGTAAGCAATCACAAATAGAATAAGAAAGTTAGCAATAGCAACTAGTTAAGTACAGTTGTTGTCTTGTTGATTTCAGAGCAACACGAATATAAACATATATTGATGCTAACTGTTGCAGATGTTCAAACCTGGTGAGTGAGGTAGTGATCTGGATGGTTGACCATAAAGAAATGCTCCACAAGTTCACTCACTGATTCATCAGGGTCTGATGGCACGTTCCGGACTAGCACCTGGGTAAAATGAAGCGGGTGAACATCAATAGCTGTGACCCTCAGGCTCCATCCGAACAGATAAAGCAGAAAATACTGAATATCAGCTACCCTTTGTATCTTTCTGGTTTATTTCGAAAAGAAAATATCGAAAGAATTTATATCCATCAGACAAACTTTAACAATAAATATGAAGATTGCTTAACTAAACTAAGGCTCAAATGTATCAACATATCTAGTATGCTAAAACAACAACAGCAATAACAAAGAACTGGAATTTAAGAAACAACTGTACTCTAACTTCTTTTGAAACCAATATGTTAAACCCTCAAACCCTTGTCTTCTTTTGGTGGGGTGGGGTGGGGGAACAAAATCATCTGTAAACATGTTAGCTTGCTCGAGTATTAGGAGTTTCTTACAGTAAATTGATCAGGGCGCCGATGTTCAGAAGCAATAAAATGCAATCTCATCGAAGTGATTGTTTCATACTCCCTTTTCAGAACATAGCATGTCCAGAAAGTAAAGGCATAAGCCATTACTATATGGGTCCAAAATCTGCAAGAGAGGAATTTGAAAAGGTTAAGCAGCAATGGTAAGAAAGGAACTAAAAATTTGTAGAAGGGCAATATAGAAACCAAATCTATATTAAACATCATGAATCACCCAAAATTTGCTACATAAAAGAAGAAAACTTTGTTGGTATCAGTTACATGAGAGGACACCCTGATGGTTTGGGGCATAGTACTTTGGCAAACATACCCATTGACATCTAGCAAAAGAGAGCCGCAAACAGCAAAGCTCAGTTATCATAAGAAGTGAAGAACTACAAAAATAAACGAGAAGAATCTCTAGCAAGCAGCAGAAAGTAGCCTAATGAGAAGTCCGTTACCTTTTTGATCCAAGAGGAACATTTGAGATGGAGAGCTTGTCTATGCCACTATAAGTCAGACCATTTCTCGAATCCTCTAAAGTGTTATTTGTCCAATTGACGGGCACCATTACTGTGAAAGCAAGTACTGCAATAGGAACAAATATTTTAAGCCTGCAGTGAGAAATTGAAAGGAAGTAAGAAGAAAATGAAAAAGAAGTCAGTACATATATAACAGAACTTTAGAATGTAAAAGAAGTTAGTCTGTAGATAAGAGAGATCTTTAGCACGTCCATCAGCAGCCACAAAACAAGTCATTAAGTTCTTTGAAAACAACATATGTGAAAATAGTGTCGAAGGGTGATATGAGTGAGAATCAACACAACTAATCAAAGACAGGTTTTTATTATGTGCAGTAAAATACACATTTTACAGCTGTACGGATGTACGCGTAATTTTGGCATAAACATCTTTCTCAAAAAGTGCATCTTGGACCGAAATCAAGATACTAGCATTTTTTAAATCTTGAATTCCACAGTACATTGTTTCTAACATGATTTCTGACACCTTCAAAAACAGAAATGGTTGTTGGAGGCAAATGCCAACAAAGACGAAATTGCAGGTGTGATGTACATGTAACTCGTACAACTGGTAGAACTTACATGGAGCAGTTCACCACATAATTCGTAATTTGCAAAGCATGGAAATTGAAACACGGGCAGTTTATAGATAGAATGCATCTAGACATGATCAAGGAGGGTCTAAGAAGGAATATCAGAAACTAATGTTGTCATTTGAAATGGACTGGCATTATCATATTCAGTATAATTAAACAAAATTCCTAAGGAATGCTAATCTTTAATTGATTGAGACAATAAACGCAGAACTCATAAAGATTCAACAATTCTGGAACTCAGCACTTAATTTTTTTTTCAAAGAGGAAAGACAGAGAGAGATAAAGCTCCTAAACTCGTGCTCAAGAATAAATAACAGCGATAAAATTTCAGTTACAAAGCCAGCAGAATTCCAGAATAAAAATCAACTCAAAGATAATCCCCGAGCCACAGCAGAGTGCATGTGCTTATAAAGATTATTTCACCAGTTCATGCGATGAGATGGACAAACAAACTTTGCGCAACCTGCTAGTGGTGCCATCACTATGATGCTAGTGGTGCCTCAGAATGGCACTTTTCCAATACATTGGTTGGCAACTGCTGGTCCGCAGAGAGTTACCACTAAATTTAAGAGCATCGTGCTAATTGTTTTATTGGTCGGCAGAAAGTTATCAACCAAGGCGTCATGCAACACCATGCTTACTACAACTGTACAAGTCTACTGGATATCCTCTAAAATATAACAAGCTTCACCAATCTCATACCTTAGTGTTGAAATTAGTGTTTATTCAGAAATTAGTAAATTCTAAGAAAGGGGGCTGACCATACCTGGTCAGATAAAATTTTGAAATGAAAATTTTTTTGTCAATTAAACATTAGAGCGAAGAAGGGGCATAAAGTGCTGTACCCAGTCCAATAAATTCTCAAATAAACAGCAGAGTCCAATCCTGCATGATCAATGAGCTCGGGTTCTGGCATTTGCAATGCAGCTGGCATCCAGTTGAGAAACCTCAGGTATGAATGAAAGTCCAAGTTAACGAACTTCTGAACAAAAGCACCTGACTGGGGACTGCATCTCAAACCCTTAAGGTACCACTTTGGGAAATATACCCTATCATTGATAGGCTGAATTCGAAGTATGGCAAAAACCACAAAGAAAGCAAATGCGCTGAGGATATTTATACATGCCGCAACACTAATGTCAGAAAGAGTTGCCATACTGCCTTAAATGGTATCTGCATCAACCTGCAAAGGAATTTGTTAATGGACTTCCTGACAGTATATGATCAACCAGGAAAATTATCCATGGAAGCGATAGAAAGCATTTTCATTTCTGATCAGCAAATGTAGCCTAAAATTAATCTTAAAATGGCTGCACGAGACAATCTCTAGAATTACAGTAGAAAATTGTTATCTCAGCAACTTCCTGAACTACCATCATAAGCCAAAAATTTTTACTAATTTACACACTCAATTTGCATAGTGCTGTTCATGAACCCAACTGTAATTGCGTATGTGCTTTAAAGCATTTAAACACCAAACCGGTACATATCCAAGGAGTTGGTTAGGATGGCCAAGGGAACATCCCTAATTGCTGTTAAAACAACACACATCAAGGGATTTCAACAGCCATATATTTACACATTGTGCACTATCCATGTCTTTTAAAAAAAAATGAAATTCACCTGAATTATTTGTTTAAAATCAGGTTTTATCGTAATTATTATTGTAATTATTATTCTATCCAAGCAGAATACCTCCTACGGAGGGATGCTTATTCATATGGATTACTGACGTTAAAGTTACACATTTTATCAATTTCCTCGGCCTGAATTAGAGTTGCATTCAGGATATCCTAAGACATAGATAAATCCTTAATTAATCTGAGACAAATAAAAAAATAAAAACTACCAACCAAAATTGAACTTCAGAGATCCTCCAAAAACACGCAACAGATTCCTCCGTTGATAGAAACAACGAGGAAACTCTAGATGAACAATGTTGAAATAGATATACAAAAGGGTTCTAGACTTCGAGTAAAAACAGAATTCAATCAAATTGAACAGATTAGAGCTTCACTCTGAGCTCATTGCTCCAGTTTCGATTCAACACTCTTCAACGATTTATATTATACATCAGGCTCCCGTAAAAATAAATCCTCAAAAAATTCCGTAGTCAAAACTCAAAACAACTTCACTTCACACAGAAATTTCATACCGCAAATGTAAACGAGAAGGGGTACTCCATGAAAAACCAAATCGTGCAAAGAAAAGCAGAATGGGGCTTCAAAATGCTTGCTTACCAGTCACCAAATTGCACAACCCCTTGAGTTCCCTGATCCACTCTTCAAACTCAAAACAATCACAAAACAGAATCAAAGTTTTCTGGCAAGCAAGAAAGACTGTTGAAGCAGATAATGGGAAAAGAAAAAAAAAAAAAAAAACCTCGTTGGTTATGGAAAACAAAACGACAGAAGCAGGGACAGTTTGATTTTGCCAGCAGTAGAGTTGGATGCCGAAGAAGAACAGTATCTGTTGAAAACAAACACAAGAAATCTCTCACGCACACACACAGTCACACAGTGGACTCATAAAATATTTTTTATAAAAAAATGTTAATGATGAAATTGGGGTGGGGTGCATGTGGCGAGCTGTGTGATTTTGGTTTTGATTTGTTGTTTATAGAAAATGTTTAATTATTTCTTTGAAGGGCATAAAAACGCCAAATAAGAAGCTTTAACGGCTATTTCCCCCCAATAGCGGGACCCACTAATTTAGAGAACTGCAGGTTCTGTTTGTTGTTTGATTGTGTATTTATTATCTGAAACAAACTTAAGCGTGACTTCTGCTATTGATATGAGAAAAAAACAGCTACTAAAGAAACTACACCGAGCAAGAAATCACAGCCTATTATGATAGCGTAATAGTACTATTCCATCCGGTCCTTATTATAAGATATTTTCATTTTGTCTTAGATTTCACCTAAGATGTCGTTTTAATCAAAATAAAAATCTTAAAAATATTTCATAATAATTAGGAGAACACAACGAATGTGAAAAAAAATATTTTTAAGGTTTTTTTTCAATTAAAAAGATATCCTAGATCAATACTTAAGACGAAATCAAAATAACTTATAATTAGGACCGGAGGGAGTATAAAATATCAATAGATCATGATCAGAAAAAAAAAAGAAATTAAAACTTTTTAATCTTCCTGTTCGATTTCTTTCTACATACCATGAACCATATTGGATTTTCTATGCCGAAGAAGGAAGAAAAAGGATTTTGTTTGTCCAATTATTTCAATTCTGTCCTAAAAAAATAGTCTATATTTAATAAGATTTAAATTAGTACAAATCTTAAAAATTAGTATGGACTATTTTTTGGAATAAAGAGATTGTCAATATACAAAAATAATAAACACAACCCAAGACATTATAAATCAAAAGTGACTATAAAAATCAAGTGGTCACATTATCCATTCTTATGAATCAACAAAACGATTTGAATTTTAAGCCATATTTTTTTGGATGATATGAAATTTCTTTGATTAGATTAATATTATTAGAAACTTAAAATGAAGATGTTCAATGAAAAGCCAGCTCATTAAACAAGGGTTATATACTAGGTTTGAATAGATACTTGTATATGTTACTGATTTGCTTGCCTTTACTTATTGATTGTGTTAAAGCCTTTACTTATTGAATATTGGTAAGTCGTGAAATAATCAAGGTAAGTCGTGATGATGTCAACGAACTTCAAAATATGGCTTATAATTTGGCCAGATGTAATAGGCTACGTACTTCACTATAATAATAGGTACCTTTTTCCAAAAAAAATTAATAAAAATAAATTAAAAAAATGTTAATTTGTCTCCAGGCACCAAAAAAGGAAATAAAAAATTTTAATTTGAAAAACTAAAATCTTTAGACGTTTCAATTGAAAAAATAATACCGAAAAAAGTAGTAAAGTAACTTGTCTATTTATTATTTTTATTATGAATGTAATTAGATTATATAAATCTACAAGTCTTACAAGTCAATTTTAATATTTAATTTGTTCTCAATATAAAAGCTATACTCTAATAAAATGATGGACTTGAATTTCCTCTGGTGGAAAAAGTTAGTCTTATTTTTTATTCCTTAACTACATTTGTATCTTTATTTTAGTCTAAACAAATATCAAAAGCTTGAGTCAAAAGTCAATGTATTCTTACCTTACACATGTGAACCAAACACCCCCTACCTAGTTAGTTCTCACGATCCAAGATTTTTCTAATCCTCATTTATTGTGTTTTCTTTTTTTAATCACATTATTTTTCGTTTTATTTTATAGCAAATAAACCATCATCTCTTCCAATTTCATCGGATGTCTTCAAAAAGGGACAACAAAGCACTCATCATCCAAGTGGATTAGTTGGAAGTTGGATGTAATTTTGTTTTATATTTTTGGTGTTATATTAAAACTACAAAGAAAATTTGAACATCCCCCCTCCCGCCCCTCCCCAAAACTACAGAGAGAATTTGAAAAATCTAAGCAAATGTAATATTTCCTCTATCCCAAAATTATTATTCAGTTTAAAATTTTATTTTCAGTACAAATTAAACTAAAAACGAAAGTTTCAATTGGACTATAATTTTGAAACAGAGAGAGTATATTTCTTTTTACAATAGTTGGTAAAGGGCAGGAAAGCAATTCAGTGTTTGATTTATATAGTGACTTGAATCTATGTAAATAATAGTAACCTCTAACAAGAGTGGTAAATAAGCGTCATATTATAATTAAAATTACTTTAAACGTGGTTGTTTAGTATCGATTTTCAAATTAAAATATACTAAGTTTTCAGCTAGCATTATACATATGTACCTTGTTTACCATTTTAACCGCTAAACCTTAATCATGAAATTAAAAAAAAAAAAAAAGGTATGAATTTTAATTTCTCTCAACTCCTACCTCATTACTTATCACATTCTAAAATTCTCCAGGCCTATTTGGATTCTATACTCCTCACATTCTAAAACTCTGAAAAGCCTGCATCCATTTTCTGATTTCTCTCTCTTAATCTCTCTTCTCTTAATTTTTATGTTATGTTTAGTTATATCCTCTCTGTTCTAAAATGATTCTTTAGAAGTAAAAGTTCAAATATAATAGAAATAAAAATTCAAACTAGACAATGATTTTGAGAAAGAGACGACTCAATTTTGTTGACTTGACTATGTATGTTATGTTGCAAAAGTGTTATATATATATATAGTACAGGAGAACCCTATTCTAGAAGGTTCTAGAATATATATTGATACACCCCCTCAAACTAAAGATGATACAAATAGCATGCGAAGTTTGTCAAGGAAATGCTGAAATAAAGGTTTCGCCAAGGGCTCAGTCATAATATCTGCCAGCTTGTCAGCGGAATAAAGAGAGTACACAGAGATAAAACATTAACCTCAACATGATGAGTGGAGCGTGAAAAACCGGATGTGAAGTAAGAAAGACAACACCATGATTATCACACCAAATTGAAGGTGGTTGACGAAGCGACACACCAAACTCGGAAAGAATTAACATAACTGGTGAAACTCCATACAAACTTTAGCAATAGAGTGAAACTCAATTTCAGTAGAAGGGCGGGCAATAGTAGATTGCTTGCAAGAAAACCCAAAAAGCAAATTATGCCCAAAATAGATCAAGAATCCAGAGGTAGAATGTCGATCATCACAAACAGGGAGTATTAAACTTCTTTATAGATGATTTAGACTAACCAAAAACTATTTTCTCTAAGATTCTCTCCAAAAGATTAGTAAAACATGCAAGATGAGTGTACTGAGTATAGTCAAATTTTCGCCAAAGATCCATTGACTCGTTCCTAGACGACTTATGAGGGAAATTTTCACGTCCATGTTGTTGATTTAGCAAGGTATGCTAAACATATTACTTGCGGTGGATGTATAAAGATTTGGTTGTTTAACATATTAACTGTCTATAGATTATATGTAGTTCAATTTTCTTTGAGCCATACTGCCAACCAATTTGTAGTCCTAGTCTACTCTTAATCCTTATATCCGAAGAGAGAAGGATTTTTGAACGTTCTGACTCAACTGAAAATTTCTCCGAATACGTGTTAGATTAATAAAAGTCCATAAAAAAAATATAAATTTAAAGTAGTAATTTCCTAAAACTCAATATTTAACTATTTAAATTTGAAGATAAGATTCACTAAGGTGAGAAAATACATATAAGATACAAGGAAAATGATAATAATAGTGTAACATAATAGTGACTTTAGTGTAGTGACTGATGTGTAAATATATCATTGGTAGTTCATGCGGTCATAATAACTACCTCTAGAAAATTAACCAATGACTGATTTACAAATCAGTCACTACACTAAAGTCACTATAGTTTTTCACTTTCTCTATCATCACTCAAGATATAATCCGAACAAGAAGAATCAAACTATTTGAATTTGAAAGCATATTTTCAAATATCGACAAAATGAATAAAAAAAATTGTATTTTTGAGTCTGATTATTTTTGGTTCAAAAGTAACACATCCCACACAACGCTTGAGATAAAAACTAGTTTAATTATTAATTTTTTGAGATAAGTTTGATTATTGATTAGGTTAGGTGTAATGTTATGATATATTTTTAAATTAGGGTTTAAGCTGAAAACGGCAAAAAGCAAGAAAAGGAAGAAAAGAAAGAGAAAGGAAGAAGGTTTTTAGCAGAAAGAGGAAAGAAAAGAGTGGAGGAAAAGAAAGATAGTACAGAATCGGATAAGGAAGGAATCAACTCAAATTCATTTCTTAATCTTTAACGTAGTACTATCTCAGATATATAACCTCCATTTTCACAGTATAATTTAACTATTTACTACATAATTTAGCTGATAACCCTAACGGTAACTACTCCAACGAAGTTTCCAAGAAGCTGCAATGTCGACGTGTCTTGCATGTGATCGCCTCAGCTGCTTCTGCTGCAAAAAACCCCAAACGACATCGTTTGTCCCTAATTGAATTAAATTACTTGACCTGGCTTAGCAGACCCGATCTTCATGACAATGTCTCCTCCTGAAGTAGACTTGTCCTCAAGTCTTGAATGAGGGAAACTACTTAGTGATGAAATGACTATCCTCCCAGGATGAATCTTCAAGTTCCAAATCCTTCCATTTAATCAGCCATTGCACCACATTCTGATCTCCTCGTTTAATGAATCGTCTTTGCATAATTTTCTCATGAAATAAGCCTCCTTCTTCATCATCAAAATTCGACAGTTCAGTTGTGGCCACAAGTTTGCTTCCTGCATGTTTCTTAAGCAATGAAACATGAAATACAGGGTGGATCCTGTAATGAGATGGAAGTTGGAGTTTATAGGCAACATTGCCCACTTTTTTGAGTATCTTGAAAGGACCATATTGCCTTGGCATCAGACTGAGAGATGATCTGATCTTCAAAGATTTCTGCTTGTAAGGATGAAGTTTTAAGTATACCCGATCTCCCACCTGTGAAGTTCTTTCATTCCTCTTCATGTCAGCATAAAATTTCATTCTGAATTGAGCCTTCTCCAAATTCTCTTTCAATCTTTTAATGATCTTCTACTTCTATTCCAACATATCAGGAGCAACTGTGACAATGAGGCCTTGATAATCTCCAAATGGAATGGTTGTAGGCTTCACACCATAAAGAGCTTCATATGGTGTCATGTTTGCACTGGTATGGAAAGTGGTATTTTACCACCATTCAGCCACGACCGCCCATTTAGACCACTGATTAGGAGAGGTGCTGCAAAAACATCTTAGATACGTTTCAAAGCACTGATTTACTTGTTCTGTCTGTCCATCACTTTGAGGATGGTAGGCAATACTCATACACAACTTAACTCCAACAGTCTTGAAGAAGGCTTGCTAGAAATGACCAGTACAAGTGCGATCACGATCACTTACAATTGAATCAGGCAGAGCATGCAACTTAAATAATTCCTTGAAGAAGATCTCAGCTACATCTTTAGCTGTAAAAGGATGCTGCATTGGAGTGAAGTGGGCATACTTGGTCATCCTGTCTGTTGCCCCACATATATCTTGCCATCCTTTTTTCAGTATACCATTAGCATATTGGTAGTCTGAGTTCACTGCTCTTTCTGTCATCAACTCAGCAATGATCCTTTGTACCTCTTCATCTCCTTGGTAACTTTCTTCTATTTGTTGCATCCATAGTGGCTTGATGGTGCTAATAGCATGGACTTCTAACACTTGCTCCTCTTCTTGAACTCTTCTAGATAGTGCATCAGCTGCAACATTTTCCTTCCTTTTCTTATAGTGAATCTCATAGTCTAATCCCATTAACTTGGTTAGCCATTTATGCTGCATAGGAGTTGTAAGCTTCTGCTCTAACAAATACTTTAAAGCTTGACGATCTGTCTTAATAATGAAGTGATGCCCTTGTAGATAGTGCTTCCATTTCTAAATGGGCATTACCAATGCCAATAGTTCTTTCTCATAAGTAGACAATCCCTGATTCTGTTGATTGAAAGCTATGCTGAGAAAAGAGATTGGTGTTCATTCTTGCATCAACACTGCTCCCATACCATTCTCCCAAGCATCCATTTCAACCACAAATGGAAGAGTGAAATCAGGAAGTCTCAACACTGGAGCAGTTGTGAGAGCTATTTTCAATTTTTCAAAAGCATTGGTTGCTTTGCCATCCCAGTTGAATGCATCCTTCTTCAAAAGAGATGTGAGAGGTTTACTGATTACTCCAAAACCCTTCACAAACCTCCTATAGTACCCAGCTAGACCTAAAAATCCTCTCAGCTCCTTGGTGGATTTGGGAATTGGCCATTCTGTGATGCTCCTAACTTTGTTGGGATCCATCTCCCCCTTTTGTAAGAGATAATGTGACCTAGATACTCCACAGATTGTTGAGCAAAGGTACACTAACAGTTTATGCTTATCCAAAGTTTTCAACACAATGCTAAGATGATTAACATGATCATCCATAGATACACTATAAATCAAAATGTCATCAAAAAATACAAGTACAAACTTTCTAAGATAAGGTTTGAAAACCTGATTCATAAGAGCTTGAAAGGTGGCTGTTGCATTTGTTAATCCAAATGGCATTACAAGGAACTGAAATTGGTATGATGAGTTTGGAAAGCAGTCTTTGGAATATCCTCCTTCTTGACTCTAATCTGATGATATCCGGCCCTGAGATCAATCTCAGAAAAGAGTTTATCCCCCATCAGTTCATCTAGTAGCTCTTCAATCACAGGAATGAGGTATCTGCTCTTGATTGTTAATTCATTTAGCTTCCTATAGTCTGTGCACATGCACCAATCATCATCTTTCTTCTTCACTAGTAAGACAGGAGAGGCATAAGGGCTGTTGCTCTCTCTTGTTGTTCCTTTTTCCAACAGATTTTCTACTAGCTTCTCAATTTCTATTTTGTGTGCATGGGGATAATGGTATGGCCTTAGCTTGAATGGAACTGCTCCTGGTTTCAAACAGATTTGGTGTTCAATGTCTCTGACTGGTGGTAGCTCAGTTGGTTCTGCAAACACTTGCATGATTTCAGGTGGTAGTTCTGCGAAGATAACTGCTGACACATGACCAACATTAACATAATAGATCTCATTGTCACACCTTGGTCTCCTCGATTCAGATGGTCCACCTGTTTTCCAATCCTGCTGCCATGGGCCTCTTCTTCTTTTCTGTCTCTCCACATCCTCTAAGACAGCTTCAATACGCATATGAGATTCATAACTGAACCCTTTTAGGAAGAAAATCTCTCCCTTCCTGTGCAATTGAATGTTGAATCTATCATGGTCAAAGAGAATAGGACTGAAACATGACATCCAATCAGTTCCTAGAATGATGTCCCATTCTCCCAGTGCAATGATCTTTAGATCAAAACTGAAACTATACTGTTGCATTGACCAACGAGCAGAAAGACACTCTTGATCATTTCTCAGTTTATAATCATCAGCTACAGTACACCACAAATGGCCTGGTCTTTCTGACTATTAATCTCATCTTCTTGACCAAGTTGCAATTTACAAAGCTCCCAGAAGCTCCTGTATCAATGAGTATCCTCACCATTTCACCTTCAGTCGACCCAATGATCACAATCAGCTTCATATCTTCATCTTCCAAGGCCACACAATCCTGCATTTGAGTAATAGCTTGCAACTGGTCTCCTGTCAGGTTGATTATGTTTCCAGCATCTTCATCTACTAGCTCCTCCTGAATAAAGTTAAAGTCCCTTGGCCTCCTCATCTTCTTCCACAGCAATGACATTCACCTGTTTAAGCCTACAAACATGTCCAGGGCCCCACCTCTCAGAACATTTCCAACACAGGTTATTGTTTTTCCTGTATTGAATCTCCTGAGGAGACAACCTTTTAAACACTTCCTTCTCAAATCTTTTGTTCCCAAGGGATGTGTTTCTAACCACATGGGGGGTTCTAACACTAGGGAAATGTGTTTTAGTAGCTGGTAGAGACAGATTCCGAGTCTTAAATGTCAGCTCAATGGTCTGCTTTTGTACAGTAGCAATCTCAAAGGCTTTCAGCAAAGTGGTTGGCTCTAATAACTTCACCATAGGCTTAAGTTCCTCCTTTAATCCACTAATGAAACTTGAAATGAAATAGGATTCCGTCAGGTGGGGATCTTTACACAACACCATCGACTTAAGCTCTTCAAACTTCTCATGGTACTCAGTAACAGAACCCTTTTGCTAAAGTTTGTTAAATTCTTCTATCTCATCTCCACCCCCTCCCGTTTTCACCAAATCTTTTAAGCAGTTCTCTTGAAAAATCTTCCCAAGTCAACACCCCTTTTACTCTTTTTAACCTTTGGTACCAATTATCCGCCTTACCATCCATATATAATTCAATAACATCCAGTTTCTTTGAATCAGACACACCATAGATGCTAAAGAACTTTTCACACTTTCTTAACCACTCTCTCGGATTCTCCCCCATAAAGTTTGGCAGTTCTAAACTAGGTTGAGATAACCATAGATTTTTTTTCAGTTTTATCAGCCAGCACATTTGCTACTTCATCATCAATAAGATTAATTCTTGACATACTAGTTGATTTAGGCAACACACCCGTCTGAGTGGAAGAAGATGGAATCTTACCCAAGATTGATGGCTCTCCTTTCTTCGCGTTCATAACCAGCAAGATCTCATTCAGCTGTGCATTAACTGACTGGAACTGATTCGTTTGATGCTCCACTTTAGATTCAAGCACCGATCCCCAATTGTTAAGCTTTTCTTCGATCTGTTTCCTCCATTCACTTACTTCCAATAACTGAAGATCTTGTTTTTTCATATGCTCTTCCAGAGCTTGGGTGGTTTCAGGTTTCTGCCATATGAGCTGTAAAGTAGTGAAAGAAAGGAAGTAAAAAGAAAATATCTTAACTACAGGCCAAAGGAACGACCCGCTCTGAGATACCAAGTGTAATGTTATGATATATTTGTAAATTAGGTTTTAAGCTGAAAACGGCAAAAACAAGAAAAGGAAGAAAAGAAAGAGAAAGGAAGAAGGTTTTTAGCAGAAAGAGGAAAGAAAAGAGTGGAGGAAAAGAAACATAGTATAGAATCGAATAAGGAGGAATCAACTCAAATTCATTTCTTAATCTTTAACGTAGTACAATCTCAGATATATAACCTCCATTTTCACAGTATAATTTAACTACTTACTACATAATTTAGCCGATAACCCTAACGGTAACTACTCCAACGAAATATCCAAGAAGCTGCAATGTCGACGTGTCTTGCATGTGACCGTCTCAGTTGCTTCTGCTGCAAAAAACCCCAAACGACATCGTTTGTCCCTAATTGAATTGAATTAAAGTACTTTATGGGCCTGAAGATCTGGCTTGTAGACCGATTAAATGTGTACAAAAAGTCCACCGTCCACGGAAAAGCCCAGACCCTTCTAGAGCATCAAAACGCGGCAGGTCCGACTCGGGACCTTATATGAAAAATCTCTCTACCAACCTCGTCGGAAGTCGGAACTTCATTTCTTCTTCCTTCTTTTTCGTCATCAAATACGAAACCAAACGATTTGGTCTTACAAAAATCAAGTAACCAAGACAATAATATTCCAGATTTGTCCGTGAATCGAGCCATTGCTAACCCGTAGAACAATCGAATCCTACTAGCCAATAAGTTCTTCAAACGGATCAGTCGTGGTTTGATCAAGAAACCCAATTTGAGAATCATTTTGGTTGGATTAAGTAGCCCTCTAATCAAGAAATCAAGAAAACCCCACGTGAGAATCATCTGTGATTGAGGCCGGGGAAGATGGATTTCGAGTTGAGGAGAGCGAGGGAGAAGCTTGAGAGAGAGCAGAGGGAAAGGAAACAGAGGGCCAAGTTGAAATTGGAGAGAGAAAAGAAAGCCCGTGAAGAAGCCCTTCGTCAACGTGAAGCGATTGAAGCAGCTCAGAGCCGGCGTCGCCTGGATGCCGCCGAAGCGGAAGAAAAGGTACCCCAATTTTTTCTTGTTTCTTTATATCTGAGTTTAAGCATTTCGTCTGAGGGTTCTTGTCAAAATGAAATTTGCACTCTTTACTTTCTTCATAAATATTAGAAAATTGTCGAAATCGAAGTAAGAAATGATACATGATTTGATGTGGGAACAATCTCTCAAACTAACAGTGAATTGAACAATTAGTATTTGTTATTTTTTTTTCGGACTTATTGTTTCAGTAAACCTTGTTTAAAGCTGTTCAACATCTATTATTGTGAAGTAAGGTTGGTCTGATATCTAAATTCTAACACTGATTAAAACATAGGATTAGAATTGTAAGATTGGAAAGGGAGGGGGTTCTGACAGGCTTAATGGGGGTCGAAATGTGGGTTGGAACATTTTAGTATTGATCTCTCAAGCCTACATTGTATTCTTAAATGATCCTTATTGTCAGTTTGGTCGAGACTAAGATAATTAATCATGCAAATAGCATTTCCTTGATCTATCATTAGTCATTGCTCGTTTTTGGGTTTTTTTTTTTTGTTTTGGTTTTTTAACTTGGTTATGTAATTTGGATTCTTGTAGGCAAACCAACAAATGCAAGATGATCTGATTGTTGGGCGAGGAGTAGTATTCCGACGTGTCCTTCAAGCGATACCTTATCAGGCGAATGGAGACAAGATAAAATTGCCTCCGTCTTGCTTTACGGAATTATCCGATCAGGGTGCTTTTGAGAAGGGGCCATTGCACTTTTCTTTGTCATTAGCTGGTGGAGAGCACCTTTCAGAAATGATGGATTCTGGAAGTCAGGAGCAAAGAGTAACACATGCTGGTGTTTTGGAGTTTACTTCTGATGAGGATAACGTTGGACTTCCTCCCCATGTTTGGAATAATTTGTTTGGTGCAAATGCTCCTGAGTTGCCAATGGTTTTAGTTCAATATGTTTGGTTACCTAAAGGAACTTATGCAAAGCTTCAACCTGACGAATTTGGCTTCTCTGACATTCTGAATCATAAAGCAGTCCTTGAAACTAGCCTGCGCCAGAATGCAACACTCACTGAAGGTGATGTCCTAAAAGTGCATCATGGTGCATTGGTATACAACCTAAGGGTTCTTGAACTGAAGCCCTCGTCAAGTGTATCTGTTCTTGAAACTGATATTGAGGTAGATATCATTGGCTCTGATTCAAAGGCTGAGCAAGCAAATCATCATGTATTGAGGCCTCTTGTATTTGGGAAATCAGAACCTGGAAGCGTTGATGAAGGTAGTTATATCTACTATAAATTTGTACTTGATGACCACACTTGGAATGTGATTTCTTCTGGGAATGCCAACCTTGAGATAAGGATACAACCAGAATCATCAGATGGTGGTGACTCAGATCTTTATGTTTCTAGGCACCCTCTATTATTTCCCACAAGACACCAGCATGTTTGGTCTTCGCATGATGTTGGTGCAAAGTTGTTAATTTTAAGCTCGAAAGATAAGAACTTGGGACCTGGTACTTACAGTATCGGTATATACGGCTTTAAGGGTGAAACAAGATACAAGGTGTCTGTCAGCATTCAAGAGATTTCGACAACGGATGTAGGTCAGCAAGCTTCGTCTTCCTCATCATCGGTTGATGCGGATACTGTGGAGTGTAGGAATTGTAAGCATTATATTCCTTCGAGGACGATTGTCTTGCATGAGGCATTTTGCAGGAGACATAACATCCTTTGTCAGCATGCTGGTTGTGGGGTTGTCCTTAGGCTCGAGGAGGCCAAGAATCACGTTCATTGTGAGAAGTGTGGGAAAGCTTTCCAGCAGGCAGAGATGGATAAGCACATGAAAGTATTTCATGAACCCCTTCAGTGCCCTTGTGGTGTTGTCCTAGAAAAAGAACAGATGGTATGTAAAAGCTCTTTAGCACTATCTTGAATGTTGCATTGGTCTTTTGTTGGTTCATTTAATCCGATGTATGGATGATATTTGTGGCCTTATTCTATTTAAAACTTTGCTGTAATCCAGTCCGCTAATGTTTGTTAACTTTGGCTTCTTATGCTACAGGTTCACCACCAGTCCTCTGAATGTCCTTTGCGCTTAGTTACTTGTCGCTTCTGTGGGGATATGGTTCAAGCTGGGACTTCAGCAGCAGATGTCCGAGACAGAATGAGGGGGCTCTCGGAACATGAAAGTCATTGTGGTTCTCGGACTGCTCCCTGTGATTCATGTGGCCGTGCTGTTATGTTGAAGGACATGGAAATACATCAAATTGCCGTCCACCAAGCAAACTAATTCATTCAGGAAGGAGATAAACACACGTGCAATGTGGAACTTCAGCAGTACAAAATTCAGCAGTATAAATTTGTGGCTAATTTGTTTGTGTTCAACAATTTGTTCGTACATTTGGGTTCAAAATTTGTTGTGATATCTGAATCTTTGTACACTCTAAATGTGAAAATTGGAAAGAAAATTAGATCTTGTGGACAAGAGATGTGCAGAAAGTGTTCTGATATTTTAAGCATGCATATCAGTGTTCTTTATATTTTATTATCATGTATACTGAAATCTCTTTCCTGATTACGTCACCCCTTGATCTTACATTAGCAATTTGATTTGATTGATTAAATCTCCAAAAGGAATTCTTAGAAAGTAAAAATTAGTACTTTTTTTTAACGACAACCATTATTATCGTCCAATAAATATCGGTTTTAAAATTTGCTCTAGTGTTTCTAAATTTCTCTCTCTCTCTCTCTCTCTCTCTCTCTCTCTCTCTCTCTCTCTTACTTATTACTTCCTCCATTCCAATTCAATAGTCCCATTTAAACATACACGGAGATTAAGAAAAAGTGAGTAATGTAATTTATGTGGTTAATTTTAAATGAAATTACTACTACACTTCTATTAATGACTAGTGAGTTATTGGTTGATATGAGAAAGTAATTGTTAAAATTAATAAACGTTCTTGATTTCAGTGAAAGTAGAAAGGGTATATTAGAGAGTTTATAGTAAAACTTAATTAACTGTCTGAAATTGGACTAAGTTTTGAAACATCCCAAAAAGGGAAGTGAGCCTATTGAATTAGAATAAAGGGAGTAACTAATAGAAAACCCAGAGAGAGAAAATTGAAGTAGTTTTCTACTTGACACCTAAGATTTACATACTAATCTTTAGTTAATAAGAATCTTTTTTCAATTTCAAACCCTGCAAACTCATTAATTATCACCAACAATTGAATTCTCTCTCTAAAGTCTTTGCGTCAGGCAGTATTTTATTCAAATAGATTATTCACTTTCGGATTGAATCCGAGTGGTACAGATCTCAGTCAAATCTAAAGTGAAGAAGAGAGACGGACGGTTAGACTGTTGTTCCGACGTACGATGACTGACTGAATCATCATCGTCCATAAGGTCGGAGCATTTACTGACCAAAGAGTACAGAACAACAGCACACGCTGCTGAGGTAGCCGTTTTAAGCTTTGTTCAATTTTTGGTTGCATGCGATTGTTTTTGATCGTTGTAGGTACCAGTGACAGACATAGCCTTCCCAGTCCGTAGGGGTTAATTTGAACTATTATTCTTGAGTATACTATAGGAAAAAATAAATATGAATTGCATAAATCTTAGAAGTATATAAGTTCTATTTAAAATGCAATCCTCAGATCATTTTCAAGTTATAGCCATTCTTAAATATGAATTCTTTAGTTAAAATAAAAGAAATGGTCAAAATATTTTCCTTAAGATGAGCTTTTCTTTTATTGTTAGTCAAACAATCCTAGTTTGTGGCAGTCGGGCTCAAAGTTGAATGTAAGCCTAAGATATGAACTGTTTAAAGAATCAAGCGTTTAGTTAAAGAAAAATGCCTCAGCCCAAAAGAAACATGCCCAGTCCTCTAGAGAAATAAGCAGAGCATGCAAGTCTGTTGGAATGCACTGTGGGGATTAATCCTATTAAATCTGATAACATGCCCAGTCCTATAGAGAAATCAACTCAGCCGGCAAATACAGATGATATTAATTCCAGTCCCCAATTGAAGGAGCAATCTCCTCCTCTCACACATCGGATTGATGAACATAATTGGTGGGAGGGAAGAAAGATTCTCACGCCTGTTAGCCGAGTGATTTTCAAAAAGTCTGGCATTGGCTGGTTGAAAAAATATGGCCGACTGCGAAGTTTCAAATTTTGCCATACACCCATGGTTCATATTATTTCAGGAATAAGTGCCGAGAGGAAAGCAGAAACAGATGGGGGGAGGGAGGGAGAAGTACTTCCTTACAAGAAGAGAATGTTAACACATATATGGTCACTAGGAATCGAGAACACTGATGCTTTTGCCTGGGAGGGACTTGTGAAAACAGAGTATACTAAGGTGGCAAGCACATCGCCAACCTTTGATAGCTCACAGATTACTCCAGAGATAGGTAATATTTCTAACATCATGAAGTGTTTTGCGGCGGTTGAACCAGATCAACTACCTTTGGTTTTATGAGTATCATTTTGTGGAATTGTAGAGGCATGAATAATGCTTCTACAAAGTTTGCTATAAATAGGTTAGTTAAAACATATAAACCTAGTATTTTTTTTGTTATGGAAACTAAAGCAAGTAAAGACTAAGTTGTAGCTTGGCAACAATCCTCTCCTTTTGTCAACTCTTTTGTAATAGACACTATAGGGCTTAGTGGAGGTTTAAGTTTGTTTTGACTTGATGGTGTTAAGCTTGATATACTAGCTCATGATCCTAATGCAATAGTAGCTATGGTACAGGAAGGTTCCGGATTAGAATGGCTAGCGGTTTTTGTGTATAGCTTTCCTTCTCACCAAGGAAGGGCCAATTTTTGGGCTAGTTTAAATGACACCATCGGCTCTTTTCTTTAGCCTAGTATCGTAGTTGGTGATTTTAATTAGGTAATACACTAAGAAGATAAATTTGGTGGGAGGCAGGTTAGGGAACAAGATACCAGATGCTTTCGACAATTCCTTCACCAAAACAACCTTGAAGAGTTAAGGTTTCTGAGTTGTTGGTATACTTGGACCAATAAAAGGCAAGGGTCACAAGCAATTTTTGAACGACTGGATCGGGCTTTTGTGAATGCTCAATGGCTACAACACTTCTTAAAGGCTGTTATTCATAATCTCCCTATCTCAAACTCATATCGTGGTCCTATCCTTATAAAACTAAATGACAAGAGTTGTAAAACGAGGAAAAGGAAGAAGTTTGAACAGTTATGTTCTAATTGTAATCAAGCTAAAGAAATTATCCAGTCAAGCTGGTCGCAGGATACCCTTGATCGAGTCCCCTCAGGAGAAATTGTCATATAAGCTGCAAGGGAGTTTAACTAATTTGCATAAATGGAGTAAATCACAATTTGGTCACATTGATCATCATGTTACAAAGCAGTCTGACATTTTGATGTCACTACAATAGCGGTGGGAAGCTAACAGCGCAAATGATCACTTGTTTTTTCAACTTCAGCAACAAAGAAATACTGTGGAGGAAGCTATGCAATTTCAACAAGACCATTGGCATCAGAGAGCTAAGATCAACTGGTCCTTACAGGGTGACAGGAACACCAAATATTTCCATTGATGGGCCACAAGAAACAAAGGAAGTATATGGATCACTGAATTACGAAATGAGGAGGGGATTTGGATTCAGGATCATAGAGGTTTGGTAAACATGATTCGGGAACACTTTGTTGCCATCTACATGGAATCCGCTCATCCACAACAGCTTGAATCATATTTCTTTCAGAATCGTCTCAGTGAGGTAGAGGAGTGTTTGACTGAAGCACAAGTCACCTTGTTGGCTCAACCTTTTACAGCAACCGAAGTCTGGGAAGCAGTCAAGCAGATGAGCCCTTAGAAATCTCCAGGTCCTGATGGTATTCGGCAGGATTCTACCACAAGTATAAGGCAATCATTGGCCAGGAGGTGAAGGCTACAATATTGGAGGCTTGCCAAAAGCAACAGTTTCCGGTTGAATGGAACCAAACAAATTTAGTCCTTATACCGAAAGTCTCAACCCCTACAACACCAACAAATTTCAGGCCAATAAGTCTTTGCAATACAAAATATAAAATCATAGCCAAGATGATTACCAACAGGTTTAAGGTTGTCATGAATGACCTTATTAACGAACACCGGCATGGTTTTGTGCAGGGAAGGAATATAAGTGAAAACATTCTGATTGCTCATGAAATGGTTGAACATATAAGAAAGAAGGAGGGTGCACTTGGTTTGGCTGCAATCAAACTTGATATAAGCAAAACTTATGACCGTGTCTCCTAGCCTTTTCTTCAACAAGTGCTCACCAAGCTTGTATTCCTTCCAATCTTATTCAGCTCATTATGCACTGTGTCTCTACAGTATCGTACTCAGTTTAGTTTAATGGTGAGGGACATCGATTCGTTTGGCTGCAATCAAACTTGATATAAGCAAAATTTATGACCGTGTCTCCTAGCCTTTTCTTCAACAAGTGCTCACCAAGCTTGTAATCCTTCCAATCTTATTCACCTCATTATGCACTGTGTCTCTACAGTATCGTACTCAGTTTAGTTTAATGGTGAGGGACATCGATTCGTTTCGCCAAACAGAGGTCTGAGACAGGAATGTCCACTGTTACCTGTTTATTTTGTGTCAGCAAGTTTTATCTTCAGCTATCAGAACTGAGTCTGAAAATTTCAAAGGACTGGGAATCCAGGTTTACAGGAGGGCTCTAAGGATCAGTCACCTCATGTATGCAGATGATAGCCTGTTTTTCATAGAATGCAATCAGACATCCATTCTAGTACTTGCTGGCTTAATTGAGGAATATGTAGTTTTCTCACGTCAGAAAATTAATTCTGCAAAATCTTCCATTCTGTTAAGTTCATACACAATGTCAACCATGAAGGATTTTATCCATACCACTTTGAAAATCCCTGATGGCCAATTCCAAAGAAAGTATTTGGGTATATCCTTAAATTTCAATGAGAAAAAGGTCATTTTTCAAACCCTCATGATGTGAATTTACGGGGTTTAAGACCTCCCTAAAACCCTAATAACTTTTACGAAGTTGAGGGTAATTTTGTTGCAAGGTTTTTACTTGTTTTTGGTAATTTCCAATACAAGAATTTTACTTGTAACCGAAGTAGCATTTTTAATTAGTTTCCTAGTAGGATTTAAATTTTAGTTATTTTAATATTTTTTCAAATTCAATTACGGTTTTCTTAAATTTGAGCTTTGATTTGTAAAGGCCCGTTTATCCTTATAAATAGGGGTCTTTGGCCGAAATTTTGGTAGATAAATGATTTGACGAATTTGATGATGAATCGATAAAAACGAGTGAGGTTCTTTTTGTGTTAATCTGGGTGATTAACTTTTGATGTGGATAAACTTGAATTTGGTTTCTTGCAAACTGCACGGCTACCCTTGTTCGAGATTTGGTGTTTCTCAACTTGGATGCTAAGTTCGTGGTACTTTTGGAACAAATCGATGCGTTTCCATCGCGAGATGGGGATATAGTTGACACATTCCGATAGGGTTCGTTCCGAAAACACTTCTTCCATCTTCTTGTCTATCATTTTCTGATTTTTCCATTAGATTCATCCTTGAATCGAAATATCCCCGGAGTCGTTGGTTGTCTTGGCAAGTTATAGGTGGAACAAGAGCAAGTCTTGATACCGTAATTTGAAACAAGCTTCCGCAGTTTA